ATGTAAATACAAAAAACAACAACAAAACATGCGCCACCTATGTAATGTTAATTTAACATAACATTACTACTAACCTGCGGAAAGGTTGCTGTCATCATAATCGGTGGACTCCTTTTTGCTACGGTTGGTATGACTGGGGCTGGGGTTATCCACACCGATCGTGCCAGCTGTTGTCCGCAAGCTGTCAAGCACGGTGTATCCCTTTGCTTTTAAGTTTATTCCGTGTACCCTCAAATGTTTCATTAGATTTGACGCGTTTCCCCCTTTACACGCAACTGCTGTAAAACATTTGCTGCACGCCGCGGTGTTGGAATCCTTTCTTGTGAAATATAGCCACACTTTCGACCGTTTAGTTTTAGGCATTTTAACAAAAGTTGTTTAATTTAGCAAGCTAAGATAGCGGTAGACCACCTGCTGCCGTCAGAACAAGTGTAACGTTAGTTGCTGCATTCACGCGCATCTCGGATGGTCTCATTTCCTGATGATGTCACGTGTGTGTTGATGAATCTTATGCTTATTACAACTGTGTCATCATAGCCCCAGAGAACAAATATTTCAATCGACAGTTCAGGCATCTAAGTGGCACCGAAATTCGCGTTTTGTTTCGGTCCAGTACATACCGGTTATATAGGTACCGGTTCCGTATTGGCACCGGTTTTCGGTACCCAACCCCAACCAAGACATGATCAGTATCTATGAAGGATGTCTTTTTGCCGCTGAAGTTGACAAGAAACTTGTAGGATTTTGGTCACAGCCATATAGCAACATGGTCTGCCATGTTCTTTGTCCCAGACCCCACCCTGAAGAACCTGTCCCAGGAGCTGATCGATCTGCTGAAGAAGCAGGTGGGCCTGGAGGACTTCTCTCTGGCCTTTGCTGCTGTGCAGAAGGAGGCCACACAAAGAAGGGCAACGCGCAAGAAGCACAGAGCAATGCAGGTGGGTCACAGGGCCTGCTGTGGACATCTAAACAGCATGACCTCATTTTGGTCTCAATGAAAGTGAACATGAGTTTTCAGGGTGGAGATCATTGCAGCTACTAGCATAGACATGCTTCTAATGATGTATATTTAGGAATGTGCTACCGTGAGTCATCTTTGTGAATGCGAGCCGAATGGCTGAATCCTGACCCGTAAACAAGATCAATTCATAATCACTTCTCTTGCTCTGATAGGCTGTTGCCAACCCTGATGTTGCAGCCAAGAGAAAGCTAAAGAAGCACCAGAGTAAGATCGTGGCCAAAAAGAGAAAGATTGAGTTTCTGCGGCCAGGATACAAGGCAAAGAAGAGTCGCAGTCATACGTTAAGAGACTTGGCCATAATGCAGTGAGAATCTTGATGCCCAGGCACCCCTGTGAATTAGGTTAAACCATCATGTGGACCAGTACTCAATATCAGAGGTTTGAGAAATGACATGTAAGGTTGCAATTGCTATTGTATTCTTTTTTATTAAAGATGATTGCTCTGTACAATTGTCAATGAGTTGTGAAGGTGTAATGTAAGATTAACTGCACTGAGTGCTATGTACTAAAATTGGACAAATGTCAAGCTTGGAAATCTCCTGGTGGACACGACACAACACACACCTGAGTCCAGGAATGAATACTGAACAATAAAACAGGCCGTGTTTTGAAACTGAATAACCCTTTTGATTTATTCAGTGTGAATTCATGTAAATTTACGAGTCCGCTCCACGTTTAAGCCGATAAATAAATATGCAGAAAAGGTGTGGAAAACCAAAAGAGTTAGTGTCAACTAAAACATAGCAAAACAGCAGTCCGAAAATCTCAGTGCAAAGAATGAAATCTGACCACACAACTCAATAAATCTTGCACATGGGAATTAAAAAGGAATGGGTACCCATACAAAAGACTAGCACACGGAGTGTCAGGACAGCTGTTTAACCTGGAGACTGTGTGCAACTCCCAACACCTTGCTAGTGTAATGTCCTTCCGCTGCAGCAGGAGCTGCAACTTCTTCCCTGGGTTGGAATAGAGTGCTGGGTGTAACTGAGGAGTATTTACACAGGGTGTGGGGGCAGGGGGGACGAGTAACAGGTCACTGCTGACATCACTGTCTGCTCTTCAGCGATTCCACAAGCCTACGGGAGGGGAAAACATAAGTCCTCTATCTTTAACAATACGCCTAATGAGATTATAAATGATACATTCTGCAGTTATTTCTAAAATGACTGTTCCATGTCGGCCTTCACTCACCACTCCATGGCCTCATCCAGTCCTGTACCCTTGGTTGCCGACGTTTTGAAGATCTGCCACTTCCTGTCCTTGAGTGCCGGGAGGCCTAAGGAGTTTGCCACCTCTGTAGGTGTCATCGCCTGTTCCATGTCTTGCTTGTTAGCAAACACTACCAGGATTGCCTTCTTCAGTTCCTCTTCCTGCACGGGGCAGAGGCCAAACAATCTGTCAACACTGTCTTCAAACTGGCATATCAAGACCCTGATCCTGCCCACATCCTGTTATCCAGAGTCCCGTTCGCTTACCTCCAACATTGCCACCAACTCTGACTTGGAAATTCCCATCCTATCCCGGTCACTGCTGTCCACCACGTAGATCACTGCATCCGTGTTGGAGTAATAACACCGCCAGTATGGCCTTAGGAGGCAAGGTGACAGTAAGAATGAAAGCTACTGTAAAAAGCTCTGTTTATAATACTTCATGATGATGCAACATCCCTTGTGACTTGCCAACACAAGGGAGGCCATGTGGCATGATGGACTCATTTGTACCTGATACTGGTCTGACCCCCGAGATCCCACACTTGAAATTTCAGATTCTTGTATGTCACAGTCTCCACGTTGAAACCAATAGCTGGAAACAGATGGGTCCGACTGAGTTCAATGCCAGCGCACAACACTACTATTCTGTATTGCCCATGTTTTATAGGACACACCGCTGGCAGAAACACTTGCATTCAATTGTTTTAGTGGGGTTTATCTGGTAAAAGTCCTAAAAGAACTGGAGGTAGTCTAGCTTCTTGAGGTCGTCAAGTTTCAATAAATATACGTACTAGGAATGGTGGTGACGACTTCTCCGACCTGAAGCCTGTAAAGAATGGTGGTCTTCCCGGCGCCGTCCAGTCCCAGGATCAAGATCCGCATCTCTCTGGAGCCAAAGAGGCCGGAGAAGAGACTGGAAAAAAACCCGCCTGTGGAGAGGGACCATAAGAGTTATGATCCAGGGGACTTCAGGAAACTTACCTTTGATTAAGTTGATTAATGAATTCACTTAATGGCGAAGCAGCATGCGATCCTAATGGTTTGATTGTAGTAGCTAAACAAACGATATTATGATGAGGAAAGTAAGACTCGTACGCCAACGCACTACATCTAATCAGCTTGACAAGCAGTTAACCTGAAAACGAGAATGTGCGGCGAGGCACCGACGCTTTCGCGAGACGAGTCAGGGGAGCTCGACAGCACTGAACTGTCTCAAAATAACGCCAACGTTTAGCTACGCTACGGCTGCTGAGAGGGTTATTTCCTGTTAAAGCCGGATCGCTGAATTAATAGGGAAATAAAACACATCAGCAAAAAGAAATGATAAAAGGCTGCAGTCTTAAAGTGTCTGCTATGTACTTTGAAGCATTATTTATGAATTTCAAAATCGTACCCATATTTTCCCAAGCCTGATTCCTTCTTCAACCTGGTAGTGTACTCCACTCGGAAATACAGTGACGTGTCCTCGAATTCAAGGTAAAACTATTTTTTTAGTTTCCAGTTTAAACCGTCGCGAAATGCTGCCAAACGTACGAAGCGCAATCTGATAGACTGTCGGATTTTAAAATACATATATAAAAGAATGATAATTTTTAAACTAATTAAACCTTGAAATAGAGCTTTATAAACAAAAGTTGAATCGTAAAGAATGTGCTTCTCTCTGGTATTTAACTTTTACTTCCGCGTACGACAAAAGGGATGACGTTGTATGCGTCACGTGACTATTAACGTGGTAATTAAAAAAAATCGCAAATGTTTTTTTGCGGTCTGCCTCCGCCGCGCGGTGGCAGATGGAAACTGCAGCTGTAATGTTACGTTTGCCGTACTTTCGGCAATAAAGACCGCCACACTGCTCCCTTCAAACATTGTAGAAGCCCTGCTTTAACTCAGTATTGATAATTGAACTCCTCGCTGATATTCACTCTAAGCCGTGTCCTCTGATAAACAAATTACAATCACATAATTTTGTTATCAGCTACAGTAACTGAAATTATGTTCCTTAAGGAAGCATCAAGTACCCCACATACCCAATAACTTCCCACCTTTCGCTAGTTCGTTCTGGTTACTAGGCCAAAATAGCTATTTGTCTGAATTCACTCCCCGGCGTATTTACGTGTACATTTCGCTGTATAGCTGGTGCCTTTATCCAAAACAGGGAGCCTCCTGACTGGCGAGCCATGTACTGAACAGTTACCTGCGACTAAGGGATGGGTACTGCGGGTAAGGAATGTTTCATTTCGTTTTCTGAAGAAGAAAAACTAATGAAATAATCAAAATAAAACTCCAAAAGTTGCTTGTGAATTTTCCAGTGAAGTAACAATGCATGGTGATTTACAGTGGATGATTATCAATTATTCCAGGAACCGAGGGACCCAGGTTCAAATCTCTGCTCAGACTATCAGAGGAAAATGTTGGTTATGGTCAAGGAGGGCAGCTGGACCCTTAGGCGAAGATGAAGGATGCTGGTCCATGTCTCATGAGAGACAATTTATATGTATGCATCAAATATGCATATAGATATAACTGTGCTTCACTTTGAATAGAGGTGACAGTGACGGATATAAGGCACAGTTAGTGGTTTGTTGTTGTTGTTATTATTATTATTATTATTATTATTATTATTATTATTATTATTATTAATAGTAGTAGTAGTATTGTAAGTAGTAGTAGTATTCCTGTAGTGTTATTTTCTGGCAGGTAACCTTAAAAAGCATTCCATGTCAAATACATGTTACTATGGTTAACAAAAGTTAACATATATTTTTAAATGCAGTTGTTTGGCAGCCAGCCAGATTTTATCATAGGGCAATTCTTTTATTTCTTAACGAAAAAGTGAGCCATTGGGTTAGGTTTACCAATTTATGGGCCTACTGAGCTACACGATAGTCATTTTGCTGCAACAACTAAATTCTGAATCCCATGGTAGGATGAATGATGATGCAGATGCAGCAGGCCTGGCATTGATTATAGTGACTGCTGCTTTAATCATTGTCTCATTTAATGTTACTATTACTGTTGTTTTGTCCATTTAATGCTTTTATATAGAGTGAATTTGTTTTATCAGCATAAGTAGCTGGATGATGATAAAGAAAGCACATCAGGTTAAGAACTTAACTCAAAGTTTGTAGAAAACAAAAGGTCATCTTCAAGAGAGCCCATCTGGAACTGGAACCATTAACTGTCAGGTTACTGATCTGTGTTCTGAATTACCATGGTGCCTACCTTCCCTGTCTTTGTTAACATGCAAAGGACGTTTCACTAAACTGTGATGATTTTCATGCGGCAAGAGACAGTTCTGTAGAAATCTCAGTGGTATCATTTAAAAAAATCAGTGATATTCTGTTTTATTATGATGCAGCTACATACTTTTCATAAAACGCAGTAATTTACAAGATAGGATTAAAAGCACACACATTTGGACATTTTGAAAATTATCTTTAAATGATTTTTATGTTGGTGTAAAACTATGATATTATGTCTGTCAAAGTGTGTCAGCTTAGCCATTTCACAACCTCTCCCCAAGTTACCCCAGTATTTGCGGTAACCATCAAACATATCCATGCATTTGTTGACTTGACCAGTAGCACACGTTGTTTGGTTAATCAATACCTCACTGAGTCATTTAATAATTTTTTATTAATCAATAATTTAGTTAATTGAGTTGGTGGTGAAATTTAATGAATACACAGAATGGCTGAGGTGCCCCTGAGGAGAGGTTTGGAACCTGAAGCCGTCTTCATCTAACCATCCATCTACAGTAGATATCAGCAACGTTTTTTTGGAGAACAGAAGAACTTTTTTGTTAATTTTTTATTGTGTTACTGTTAATTTGCACATATTCTAATTGTGTCTTTTTATCTGAGCTAATATACACTTACTTTCCAGATAAATTGATGTAAACATTTTATTTGATTGCCTCCATGTTTTTCATGAAACTGTATATATAATAGAGTCATATAAAGCTTGAAAAATGATAGGTTAACTGTTTATGTATATAAGGAACACTTATGGTTGTTCTAATTGTCCTATCTTTTCACACCTGTGGGCCAGTTCAAGTGGAAGTGTGAAAGTGTGTTGATTACGAGATAATTGGTGTATGAGGAAATGGCTCTCCACCTGCGGCAGGGAGCGGAGGGTGATACCCGGGGGGTGCCTCATTCGGCCCGGGCGCCCGATGAGCAACAGACACAAAAGGACATAGGCGGCTGGTGCAGCCATTCGCTCCGACAACGGCGTTGGCTGTCTCCGTGAAATCTGTTACCGTGCCGCCCTGACTCTGGGTGGCACGGCATTGTTAGGGAGATTATTTAGCTCCGGGCACTTCTTTATTTTCACTCGGCACTGAGGGAACAAAGAAGTGGAGTGGGGGGGGGGCGGTAGGTACTTTGTGGTTATAGGGCTCTTCCTGTATTGCTGTTGATACTAGTTGTCCTTTTGAAATGGGCTGCAGAGAAGAGGAAGGAAAGAGCTTTTGTTCCATGAGATAAAATCCACTCCCACCTGGTTTACTGGAAATTGTAAACATAAAACTTTGTCTTGGTCACATGACTGTCCTTTGCATGTGTAGCCTCTGTATTGGACGCTGTGTTGGGCCCCTTATATCCTCTGTATCATCTCTTCTACTCATTTTCTGCAACAGTAATATTGAAATGCAGGCTGCAGCAATGTATATAAATGTGTTTAAAGCATGTTAACGGTGTTAAATTGCAGAAAGCATACCATAAACATAAAACAGACCTGTGGATTGTAAAGCAGAGATGATGGATAGATAGTACTCCTGTTGGACAAATGCACATTTGTGAACTGTCCGACTGCTGAATTGTTGTTATTCTGTGAGAAGCTGCAATCCACGTGTTCCAGGGTACAGATTTGTTTTCTCCATGCCTGAATTATGCCGCTAGTCAGCCAGGAGCCAAACAGTATGAAACATTTAATATGCTCGCTCATCTCCACGCATCCCTACATTCTCCTTTTTAATTACACCAAGAGTGTTGTGCTGCAGATGTAACAAGGCATTTGGGCACGACGTATGTGTATGATTAACATCCGGTTAAATGGCCTTTTGATTTCAGTGTCAAGAGCAGGTTCAAGGCAAACCCTCAGAAATGCATACAGTCTGTTACCCATTGCACGCAGGAGTTAAATTCCAGTAGCATGTCTACTGTTGCATCAACTTCTCCTGCATGGTCATGGTAATCTCTGCATTTCCAGCCTTGGGGCACCGCGGACCTTAATCTCTCCATCTTGTTGGCCAGGTGGCAAATCTCTACCTCTCTCACTCTGAAAGGGGAAGTGATGGAACCTGTCAGTTTATATTTAAAAATTTTATTACCAACATGTTGTGATGGCTTTTCTCAAAATGTTTGTTTGGGTGGCAGAACGTTCCCTGATGCACGTGGGCTTTTTATTTACCCTAGAAGAATGTTACCCTGACCCTTTAATTATTGAGCATGCAATTTAAAAAGCTTAAATGTTGTTTTGATTTCAGCGGAAACAGATGCATTTTGAGGTTACTTTGAAATTCTTGGCCATCTCTACATTTACATGAAGTAAACTTAGCAGACACTAAGACGAAAGGCAAATAGCGCATTACAAACATTCACTACCAGGAAACGTTTGTGTTCACCACAGGTTTTAACCACTTTTCCATTTATTTCATAAACTACAGATTTTTTTTTTATTCTTGTCAAGCATTGCAAAGTTGACTGAACAATTATAAATTAAGATATAAATCAAATAAAACAAATTTCCTTTATCACTTGGAAAGAGTATGTAACAGTGCAATGTCTGACATCCTATTAACTGGTTGTGTGGTGATGGCATAGTGAAATTTAACTTTAAATGCACTAGTTACCTGTTTCATCCATTGAAACAGAGCAGTATTTAATGTCCATTGTTGAAAGAATGCCTTGAATTTTCTCTGCTTTTATAACTGCTAAAGGAAGTTACGTTGATGAATCAAAGATCTGACATTTTCTTGCTAATAAAGATAATCAAATGGTGAACATGCTGTGAATTTAATTGTTGGTAAAGAATACTGAGTGGGGGGTGGCATGGTGGTGCAGTGGTTAGCAATGTTGCCTCACACCTCTGGGACCTGGGTTTGAGTCTCCACCTGGGTCACATGTGTGTGGAGTTTGCATGTTCTCCCCATGTCATTGTGGGGTTTCCTCCAGGTACTCCAGTTTCCCCCCCACAGTCCAAAGACATGCTGAGGCTAATTGGAGTTACTAAATTGCCCTTAGATGTGTGAGTGAATGGTGTGTGTGAGTGTGCCCTGTGATGGGCTGGCCCCCCATCCAGGGTTGTTCCCTGCCTCATGCCCGTTGCTTCCAGGATAGGCTCCAGACCCCCCACAACCCAGTAGGATAAGCAAGTTGGACAATGGATGGATGGATGGAATACTGAGTGTATTTTTAGCAAATGTAGAAAATCCCAGTGTGTGCAAATACAATTGACCGGTAGTGTGCATTCTGTCAAGCAGTCAACTGGGCAAAAGTGCAGCTAGGCTGAGCTTCCAGTGAATGCCCAGGTACAGGTGTAAGCAGTGAGGGAGCCAGAGTTACACAACCACTACATAACTAAGCAAGAACCTAATAAGACTGTTCAAGGACCAGAAGTAGAGCATAACATGCAGGGAAGGAAAAGAACTATCAGGCCTCTAGAGGAATTTAGGGCATAGCTGGGTCTTGATTCTTGAGGTGAAGAGGGAGCCTGATGACCAGACGTGGTTCAGAAGCTCATTCCACCATCGAGGAACCACACAAGAGAACTGGCTGGAGTGACATACCTCTAGGATATGACTGAATGACAGACTGACTTTATTTCATTATAATAGTCTTTGAGAAGCTTGAGTGATAGACATAAGAGGCCTATCTCAACACTGTGTGAGTGAGCAGTGAGCATCACCTCCGAAGTCTCTTTAAGGCACTTTCACGTTCTGCTGGTTGGTCATCCATGGAGAAGGATGGTCCATGTGTCCCAGGAAGTGATGATAAAAAGGTGTATTTGGAGCTCTTAAATGATCTGATGGAAAGATCTATCCATTCATCACAGGGCTACAGAGCCAACCCTGGAAGGTGCGGGCACAAGACAGGGAATTACCCAGAATGAGGCACCAACCCATCACAGGGCACAAACTCCATTCACATGGACAATTTGGGAACTCCACCATATGTAGAAAATACAGTACCATGCAAAAGTCATAGGCAGCCAAATGATCTTTATGTTGGTGTAGCATTACGCTATTATGCCTGTCAAAGTGTGTTAGCTTAGCCATTGCAAAACCTCTGTTAAAATCACCCCAGTATTTGCAGCAACTGTACAATACACCCATTCATTTTTTGACTCGACCACTAGCATGCCTGGTATAGCTAATCAATATGTCATTGAATTTTTAAACTAATTATGTTAATTAAGTGAGCTGGCGGTGAAATTTAATAAATACATGGAATGACTGAGGTGCCCCTGAGGAGAGGTTTGGGAACCAAGGTGGTGTTTGTCTAGCCGTCCAACAAGGTATCAGTAAGTTTTTGGAGAACTGAAGAAATTTTCACTAGTTTTTATTGTGTTACTCTTAATTTGTGTTCTAATGTTAAATTGTGTTTCCTGTTCTCCGCAAATGTGCACTTACTACCCAGAAAAATAGCTTTAAACATTTCTTTCGACAGCCTAAGACTTTTGCACACTACTGTATAATTAAGACAAAATGTGCTATTACTATATTTATACTGTAAGCATATTCCTGAAATGTCTCACGTCTGACCGTGCTGTTCCACAATACTGATCAGAACTGACTCAAAATGCCATGGCTGGCTGCAGCTCTGAGACCTGGAGCTGCACTCTTTTGTGGCTGAACGACAGTGGGGATACATGGAAAGCAAAGCAGATAAGTCACGCAGTAGTCCGGATGTTCCCCTTGATAAACAGCACTGAGCTGGACTGATGAAGTACGGACGAAATCAAAACATCTGTCGAGGCGCAGATGGTTTTGAACTTAAATTTACATTCTAAAGGTTGCAGGTTCAAATCCCAATCCCGTTATACACTTCAAATTGCCCAGGAAGAGACTTTACTAGTTTAAATGCAGTATACAGCTGTAAATGTATGTGCAGTATGATCTGCATGTACTGTATAACACACCTGATAAATGTCAGTCGGTTTTTATTTAGTGTGGCATGTTTTGTAATAAAGAAGTGGTATACATAATTTACAGATGGAGTGTAAAGAAATGAAAAAGAAGTTTTTCCATGTTACACTTAATGCACCATATGAGGGTTGTGTGTGTTATAATCATCTGTCGCAAAAATGGATTAAAAAAAAAAAAAAAAAAAACCCTGATAAGCAGTTAAAGGTTGGATGGATGGATGGATGGACAGAGAGCTTTACTGTTTCCCAATTTTGCTATAGAATAGTTTTTTTTTTAGTTATCGATCCACAAGGTAATTTGCTGAAAGTTTCCGTATTAATTGTGAACAGGATCCGAGCCACTACTTCACTGCTGTTCTGTGACCCAAATGGCGTCTCGTGGCAGAATATCCCAGAAGACACTGGGCTGTGCATTAGCACAGGTGACAATGGACGGTGTTGGGCGGCCCGGCCGGAATGATGGCTGGCAGTGGGAGGAATAACTGATCTTCATTTACAAAAAGAGAAGTTACAGAAAGTGCTCTGATCGTGCCGTGAGGAGGTGACGTTGACATATTTAAAACGACCCGTGTCTTTATCTGATACATCATTCATTTGGGGGGGATGGAGGTTATCATATATAAAGAAGCCAGCATCCTCTCTGGCCCAGCATCAGTTAATCGTCAGGTGCCAGCAATGGTGAGTTATTACTCTGTATCACTAAACAGTCATAGCACTAACTTTAAAAGTCTATCAGACTATTGACAGCAATAGGCAATACTGGGCTTTAAACACGAACATTTATGCATGTAAATATGTCAGAATTACTAATTAAGGTTCCTCAGTGGTTTCACCTTATATGTCATGTTAGAATATCAGCTCATTGTTTTTTGGAAGCTGCTCTGTGCTGAGTTACACTGCTGTTTGTCTTCTGATATAATTATTGATGGATTATGCGATGTACCTGCCGCTTCCATTCAGAATGATCTGGACCAGGACCACTTTAACCAAGAGTTCCAGGATGCCATAGATGTCATCCAGCGGCACTCCAGCGAGCTGCAGTTTGAGCCTGGTATGGGTTTGCCTGAGTCCCCGCGATGTCCCGTGACAGAGCCAGCCAAGTACACCGTCCGGCGCAGACTGACGGCTACGGCTTTGCCCGTGTTTTGCCAAATCACAGCGTTTATTCTTGTTTTTCTGTGAATCTATTGTGTCCTGTCAGTTCTCACCTTCCCTGTAACCTGACTCCGATCCTCTAATCACCCTCCATTTCTGTCATAATTATTAAGCCTTTTTTTTTTTTTAGACAAATACTATGAGACGCTGGAAGCTCCGGTTTCAGCCAGACAGCCTGGTGGTCCCTGCTACCCCCATAATCCCGGCCCCAGCGCACCGGGACACACGTACGACTGGGGCGAGCAGCCTGTGAGTATTCACACTTGTAATACAACTTCCAGAACAAACAGCCAGCTGCACACCCTCTGTGAGGCATACAGCTCAATGTTGTACCTCTGTTCTTGTTTATGTGATTGTGTCGTTTTTATAAATAAATGTGAAATGTTAACGTGTGACTTATTCTCTCTCCTAGCCCCAGCCCTGGGGCATCACTCTTCAGGAGACCTCTAATTCCTCTTCCACGCCCTGTGAAGTCCCTCAGATTTACCCAGTGTTTCCCTCACAGCGGAATGGGAAAGGTGGGTTGATATAATGATTCCTGGGGAGGGATGGAATTTTTTTGATATGACTGAGCCAGTAGGTTTTGGGATCTGTGACCCCAACAGGCCGGAAGAAGCTCCGCCTTTATGAATACCTGCACGAAGCCCTGCATGACGCCAGTATGGCTGACTCCATCCAGTGGGCCGACCGGAGCAACGGCACCTTCCATTTTGTGTCGAAGAACAAGGAGAGGCTAGCGGAGAGCTGGGGCAAGCGCAAGGGCAACCGCAAGACCATGACCTACCAGAAGATGGCGCGCGCCCTGCGGAACTACAGCCGCACCGGCGAGATCGTCAAGATCCGCCGCAAGCTCACCTACCAGTTCAACCCCCTGATCCTGCAGCGGTTGAGCTTGGGCCACACGCAGTGCCACGCCCCTGGCCACGCCCCTGGCCACGCCCCTGTCCATCCCCCACGAGATGTGTCTCACCACCAGTGCGCCCCCACTGAGCAGGTCTACTATGACACTCTGCCACCAGACTTTCACGGCTGGTATGGACACTATCCCTGTGACAATGACTATGATCTCACGCTCAGGCTGGGCTAAAGTGGTCAAAACATGTAAATGCTGAACGCCTAGTAAGAACAATGCAATTTGCTCTGAGAAAAAATGCCTAAAATGGTGAACTGTTTCTGACGCCGTGATCCGAGGCTCTTTGTGCTCCAGTCCCTGTTTCTGTGGTCACTGCAGACCTGTGCTCACGTCTATCCATGTTCCACTCGAAATGTCCCTCTTTTATCATGGTGTAATTTCATTTTTCCTGTCCTTCATAAATGATATGTTTTGATGTATAGTGTGTTGCAATGGCTTCCTGTAACGCTGCGACCATCCCGATATTCACTGCAGTGGTAAAATCCTAACAAAGCTTTGTAAATATAGATTGGTTAATTTTGTGTGTATGATTATTTTGCAAGAATAAAGGCTCTTTTGTTTGTATCTTGGGGACATGCGGCACTTTGATAAACTCTAGCTCTATTTTATTATCATTTTTTTATTAGTCAGTAATCATTGTTCTCTTATTTGCCTCCAAGGCAATATAAGCTTCCGGCGTTTAGGAAACCCAGGGAACATGTTGTTGCCATGTTGTTGCTCCATAAATGCGGAGATTTCTGTTTTTTTTTTTTTTTTGCTGTTTGTCTTTTGATGACCTGCTCTGTATGTTTTGAATCTATGAATAGAATGTATTTTTGGAGAAAAATAATAAAATGATTTACACTAAATGTGTGCCTTGGCTAGGCCAGTTCATCTGAAATTGAATCTGATATCACTGGGTTGGTTCTGGGTTGCTTGATTTTGAAGATGTTGCCCTATATATGCATGATTGCATCCGTTAGTCAGATCACACATATCATAAATTCAACTAAATTCAAGAAGTTTATTTTTCACATGCACAGTTATACACATATAACTTGCAGTGAAATGTTACCCTGAATATCTCCTGAGACTATGCATACATAGTCTCAAAAGATAAAAAAAACAAATAAACAATATGTACTTTAATTAAGATTGAAAGTGGCATTGCCCTATGTTAGAACAGATGCGAATATGTCATTCCAATGAAACATATTTAGGACAGCAGTGACAGTGTCCACAATAATGGTAAGTTGCAAGCAGAACGTAAGAATTATCCTGGAATTAGTGCCAATACACACATTTTCTGTAAATCATTATTTTTCTCCAAAAAAACATTCTATTCATAGATTCAAACCATACAGAGTAGGTCCTCAAAAGACTAAATGGGCAAAATAAACATGAAGGTCGCTGGTTTGAGCCTGACCTCGGCCCATCTGTGGGTCGTTGAGCAAGACCTCAACAGGTGGCTGCCATTGGCAGCCAGCTTGTTCTCACTAACAGAGAGTACGTTGGGGGAGGTGTAAAAAGAATTTCCCCATGGGGATCAATAAAGTATCAATTATTATTATTATTTATAAATGCATGCACTGTGTAGGCATCATTTAACAGTTTTTCTTTGGCCAGTAGAGGTCAGTAAAACGCCGCTTAAATTAAAAAGTTTAATACACACGGTGCGGTAGGGCGGCAGTACAGGAAAAACACGGAAAACTCGCACATTTACAGCAGGGACGGGATTCAAACCCACAACCCCCAGAGACGTGAGGCTATATCAAGCCTGCTTACTGCCGTCTAAAAAAAAGAGAAGTTAATGTTTTTTATTTAAAGATATATAAAGTACCGCGGTTAAGTTAGCCTCCTCACAATTCTGTCATTAAAAACGTCCTAACTTACTTCCAGTAAAAGTTATTAAAGCCGGAAAACTGAATATCGAATATGAGGCTAACTTAACCGCGGTATAAAAAGTCAAGCTGGGGAAGTTTTATACTTTTATAAAACTCACTTTTATACTCACTAAGTTTTAATTAAGTGACTAAAAACGGGCCGCGCATTTATTATGCCGCTGTTATTAACACAATGATTCGTGTATTTCTCAAAATATTTTACCCACAGCCATCCCCACATTTTCAGAATTGTAAATTTGATGTATATAAAATCGCTCGAAAAAACGAAACGTTATTTACATGTATAAATAAATAGCCTGTTAACCAACCTAAAAGTTAAAAAACTAAGGCAAAAGTAATGAAAACAGAAATATATTTCCGGAAAGGTACCGCCATAAGCTCTTTTTAGTTACCTGTTAAGCAGGTTTAGTTCATTGCCCATTAACTGCATGAAAAGTATTATCTAGCTTAATAATATTTGATTGTGAATTAGGAAACAATTTTGGTTTTAAGTTTCAAGTAATGGCAAAAGACTGTTGGGAAAAGTTTTTGCCACATGTTATGCTTTTTCATTTCTGTATATTTATACAGTATTTCTGAATAGCCTACTTCTGCTTTGTAATAATCCTGCCGGTTTGACATCATCTTAATAGTAAATCTGATGGTTGAAGTCTCTCAGCTGATTTTGCCCTTATATTATCAGCTCCTACCAGGCCAAACAAATGGAGACCTGTCCTGCCCCCTTGTTCTTCCAAGAAATATGTGGCTTGAATGTTGTCATATGAAATGCTTAAGCGTTGTGCTATTTGGCTGTGGAAGGCCTGCCCTTACAGAGCTGGCGTGGTCACATGATGTGAAATAACCCAGATTATGAGAGGTTTATGTTTCTGAGAACCTGGAGCATTGTTGGAGTGCATTGGGCATCTGGGTGTTACTGACAGTGTCCAGGATCAGACAGGAGGACCCTGTAATTCCTGTCGTTTGATCTCATCCCAGTTCATTCATTCCCACACAAGTAAAAAGGCGAGCTAGTCTGCACCAACTATCTGCATTTTGTAACATGCGTTATTTATAGAGAAAAGCCCACACATTGGATTTTTTTGTGAGTGAGAGAGGGGAGGACTTCAACATGAAGAAATTTCACATCCTCAAGATAAAGTCACACAGCTGATACAAGTATGGCCTGGATCATGTGAACAGGAAAACAATTTCTCAGGAATGGATCCTTTCTCAGGGGCCAAAATTCTGATCATGACACAGAGTCATTTTCCATCTCCTTATTTAAGAGGAGGGAGAGAAGAATCTATTTATGGTTTCATTGTCCATGCCTTCCATGTTGGGTTAGAATGGTCTGTATTCCAAAGGGAGCAAAACTGATCAGGAAGAAATGGTGGTTAAAATAATGCCCTTATCGCCGAGAGTGGCGGAAGTTTGCACAAGTGTTTGTGGTTCTTAATATTTGTCTATAGATGAGTAAACACATCACATGTTGAAGTTCCAGTCTAGGCAAAATTTCTGAATTTGTGCAATAGCTTTTGAAAGTGGCACAATGCTTCCGAGAAATTAAGTCAGCATAATAGTGGTTGAAGATACTGGGCCATCTGTTCTACAGGTTCTGTTAAGTGGATTTCTGCGGTTCCTTTTAACAGATGAGCTGAGTATGGCGTACTGGTTGATGAGTTAAATACATCAATAGATGTTTTGTGGTTGTTCTTTCTAGAATTCCAGAATGAGACTCGGATGCTTCAGAGTTATATTGACTTTGATCTAACAATGCACTTTCAAAACAGGAGTGTACCTGTGTACTGCACAGAATGGGGTCAGCCAGCAGGGGGTGCTGCAGACCTTGGGAAAACACTCACACTCCATTTCTCTTCCCCTGCTATGACGTAACGGCTAAAACCAATCTGTAATGTGACTCATCGTCCAGCCAGAGCACTTCCAAATGTTTTGTGGGTGCTTTGTATCAGGGCCCACATGATATTACCGTAAGCCCCCCTCATCTAACTGGAACCTACCCTGGGATATATATGGTCTAACACAGATCTCTGTGTCTGCTACCAAGAAAGGCCACATTCTTCAAACCTGGCTCTGAAACCTGTTACATAAGCCAGATTCTCGGGACCCCTCCTTAACCGTGCTCTTCTTTGCGAATATTCTTTTGATCCAAAGCCCTCCACACCCAAGAGCAATGCAGAGATGATTGCAAAATAAAGAATTACCAGCATTGTTGCATTATTTTATTTATCAATACAGAATTTTGCATCAACAACACAGCAAAACTGAAAGTGTTAATTTTACACTCATTACGTATTTGAGTTCAATTTATAAAAATCCATCAGTCTGGTGAATAAATATTGCCAGTTATTGTGGTGTTATGTTCCAGTGTCAAGAACACAAATTTATGAAGATTACAATAAGCTTGAAAATTAAATTAGTCAATTTACAAGTCGCATGAAATTCTACAATTCCTTAATCACACTCTACAAGTAATTAGTTTTTATTCTAATTCTCATTGTCCTCATATTAGTCTCGTAAGACAGTGTTTCCTAATCCAGTCATTGGGGACCCACAGATGGTCTGTGTTTTTGTTCCATCCCAGCTCCCTGCCAGACAGTCCACTTTTTTGCTGGCAGCTGGGAGGGAGCAAAAACATGGACCGGCTGCATGTCCCCGAGGACCGGACTGGGAAACACTGTCGTATGATATATGAGGTGTCCTGACATGCGGCATTCAACTCTTATTTGAGGTGGAGGGGTAAATCCATAATCACCGCTGTGTGAATGTTTGCTTGGGGCCTCTGTCCTGACTGTCAAGTGAATTGTCAAGAAGACACTTATCATCCCCCACCTGTTTGCATGCAGAGGAGAGGTACAAAGAATTACCTTACAGTAATCACAGGTCTTTAACACAACACTGCTTCCATACTGTAGATGGCCTGTTTAGCCTCTTGATAACATGCTGTAAGAGGAAACATCAGAACTAATCAAGCTTCTTTCTTTCAATCAGATGGTTTTTGAGCCTCATTGCCCAAGTCTTCTTCTCGAGATTGATTTACTGCTCACTAGAGTGAATGCCAAGTCTTGGGATTGATTGACTGCTCACTCAAGTGCTAAAAAGTTAATTAGGAACTAAAGCAATGATGCCAATCTCAAAATTTACCATCAGTCTCTCTTTCCATGTCAGACATGTCAAATGTCAAGGTTTATGATAGCTTTCTAAGTATAGGCAATATATCTGGCTCCCAGGCATCTCTTTAGTATTTATTGCTTTGGCTCTTTCAGACTGGTGCTCATGGATGAAATCCCTCCTGGATTAAGCAGATCTTGCTCTTGGCAGGAGCTCTGCAGACTCACCCGGTAGCTCCGGTTTGTTCGAGCTGCGTCGGGCATCATGCATGGGCTCCGCCCACAAGCCTCACTTCACTCAGAGTGCCACCTACAAGTGGCTGACGATCGTCAAGGACCGCTTGCTGCATATCAGTGCATTGTGAGCTTTAAGGAGCAGTGAGTCTACTGACATTACATAAACAGTCTATTGATTTACGGTGATGGGGAAAAAAAGCAAAGTGATACTCAATGTCTGTTGTTTTGCGTGCATGAAATCCACGCCCCTTCTTGCAGTCTCTTACCGTCCCCCACCTTCACACTCTGCCTGCTTCACTGGCTTATATAGCAGTGGTGATGTTGCATTTCTTTGCCATCCGTACGTCTTTGTTCTTCTGTTTCTTCCTTATTCTTGCTTCTTCTGTGGAACTTGATGGAAACATAGTAGGCTTTTCCATGTGTTGAAAGAGGCCAATCATAAAATGGGTTCTCCCAACTCACTAATGAACCAAGTCATGTAGATGTCAGTGCTGGCTTTTGTATAGAAGATTACATCACCTAGGCAGTATGTGACACACACTGTTAGAGTCAGGTGAGTAAAGGCTGGCAGAAGCAAATTTTCAGGAATATAAGCTTCCCTGTGATATTTATCACACTTCCCTGGATCGGCCCCCACCCCGGACACTGCACTCTCACTGCTATGGCATTACTAATCCAGCAGCACTAATGACATGTGGGGTATGTAATCCAACCTAGTTGCCCTTGTTCCCTGTCAAAGGTTCTTATGGGTGTTGCTAGGGAAGGACTTGTTGACCCAACCTGGCCTGAAGGACCGTATGTATCCCTCCTGTTTTAATCCATTGGTTTATTCTGGAAGAAGTTTTTGATGGATGTGGGCTGGTCCAAAGGAAGGCTAGAGGGGTGTGATGCTGCAGCTGGGGAGAGAGTAACTTCATTGTCTAGCACCTAGAGGAGGGGCCAAAACTTCTCTGTATAAAGACCAGTAGCCTTTCACCCCCTAATTTGTCACTGAGCTGCCACTCTTGTGGACTGAAGGTCCATTTCTCTCCTGTTCATCTTCCACCTAATCTTTGGTCACGCTTGTGCAAAGGGTCCCATCCCAGACCCTCACTCCGGCTTTCTTCCCTGGGGCTCGCAGCCTACCTGTGATCAGGTCACGCTGGTATAACAGCATCATTCACAATGCCAGAGCCCACAACTAAAGGTAAGAGCATCCTGTTACTCATCTTAATGCCAGAGGAAAACTGCAGAGCGGAACATGGATGCAAGTGGATAATAGTTTGCTGGTTGTTTTCACAAAAACATATAGATTTAGATCAGAGGTTTTTCCCTTCAGATCTTTTGTTCTTGCTTAAGCTGCTTACTTTAAGTGTTTTTTAAGGAACTCTGAAAGTTTCGATGCTTTCTTACGTTCTTACGCCCCCCTCAATGGGTGTGTGTGCAACTTGTGCAATTTTTTTTTTTTACTTTGGGATGAAGGGCTAGTCAACAGTTAGCATGACCTAATGTAGTGATGAAAGGATATTAGCCTAACCCTGAGGCATAGTATTTAGAAATTTACATTTGCACATAAAAAGATATATACCACAAATTCATGTAAAGCCAGACTATATAGTAAATAGTGGTTTCACAAATTAATCCTTTTGATGATTAGAGTACTGATTGAGAGATCTTGGACATGTCTGTTGTGGACACCTTCCTGGAATTCAGAGTATGACTTTGATGAAAGTATTGTATTACTCCTGGCATGATATTAACTCATCAGAACTTGTTACCTCCAAAGAAGTGCATCACCACATCTAAGAAAGCTATATATAAAATATGTAATTGTTTACCCAGTTGTTGTTATCCGCTGTCAGAATAAGGATGGATGATTTTTGATTGTGATTCTTTGATGAATAAGGAATGAGAAATGTAACTAAGAAGAGCAGGCTTTTCTGGAAAGACACATTATCTGCATCAACTTTACTTCATTGTTCTGTCACGTTGAGTGAAGCCATCACACACCAGACTACACGCTTCCCATGTGGTCTTGGGTGTCACTTACTTGGTTATTGAAGTCTCCTGCGTTAAGCAGAGAGTGATGATAACCTCTCCCCCTTTTTTGGTTGCTCATTGCTGACCCGAGGGGCTGTTGATTGATTGGCCTTTGTGGGACAGAAATAGCTATGGGCAAACATGTTTATAGTTTTGCACAGTTTGTGTCACACACAGCCAGCTAGCAGATGTACACAAACAATGAGGATCAGTAGAGGCATGTGTGGAATCTCTGAAATTTGCTCTGTCTCTGTTATTGTAATGCCTCCCTATAAATATGTTAATTGCCAATGAGGTAACACTTGAAACCCTCCCATCTGCTGCCTGATGTTGACAGACAAAGAAATCCACTTAGGCTGAAAAAATCGGTTTATAGCACTGATTGCTCCTCGTGCCACTCTGCTTCTCTGATTTGTTTATGCACCTGAAGAAAGAAATCTCTGACACTAATTCTTCAGCGAGTGCTTCCGTTTACAACAGTCCTGTGAATGGTGTTCGCCCTAATTCATGAGTGCACTAGTGAACCACCATTGTATCATCTCCCAACCCTCACATATACAACAACCCAACTTTAGTGCTCAGGACTGCCTTTGTTGTGGTTGCAGGTTCCCTGACAAGGAACACAATGTTGTTTAGAGCCTATCTGCTAAACAGGTGTCTTCTTTGGACAGCTGTCAATGACTGAAAAAAGAAGATTGACGGACTGCACGTCATTGTTCTCGAGAAAAGGCAGTGCCAGACTAAAGTAGACAAGTTTGGCCTGAGCCTGCAGACTTAGTTTGGTAAATGATGGGATTCTTTTTATTGAAGGACAGGAGACCTGTGTCTGTTTTCCCCTTGGGACAGGGATTACAGAACCCCGGAATAGTCCAGAATGGCTGCCCTTTTAATCTCTATTCCTCTGCCTGTGGTAGGGAGCTTCAGCATGTAAAACCCAAAGACCTCTGTGGCCTGGAACAGTTATCTGGCAGAGCTCTACACACACACACACACATACTCCGCGCGCACGAGCATGCAGTGGAGCAAAAGAGGTGTTGTTCAGCCCGTCGCATGCCACAGCCTTGATTTTCTCTTGGTGTCGATTACATGTCCTCACCTGAGTATATTTATGATGGTTGCAGTTTATTGTTCCTGTCGCCTTTGTGACGGCCATAATTTTTGCTCTGCATATTTCGGTAGCACCTGTTAACCATGGAGATGTAGCCTTCCGGGGATATTGCTTTACTGTAGACTAGGGTATCCTGTCTAGTAACTGCATGGTAGCTCACTGTGTGGACAGAAGAGTCCTTATTTGAAGAAAAAGATCTATATTAAGCCAATGAAGCAGTCGGAGAAAAAGAGCCTGATGAGCTTGTCTGTCGACAGCCAGCGCCGTGGCGACAGCTGGGAATACCTGCCGGGTGGTCAGCTGCCTGGGATCTTTGGAGGCTTGAAAACAATACCTTACTCAACTCAGATATGATCTTTGGTGAGGGAAATGAGGCCTTCCTACGGGCTCGATAAGACCCTCTGTTCCTCCAGCCACGCTCTGACTTAGCCTTGGAGAAGGAGAACATCTAGAAATTGAACCTACGATAACGTTTTTACATTTTTTTTTTAGCAAAAACTTCTGTCCAGAGTAATATACAAGGAAGGAAGAGAACAGGGTCAGTCAATATCCCTGGGGCAAGTAGGGATAAAGGCATGTACTAGGGCCCAACAGTCATAAAGAATAAGATAGTCTTTATTGATCCCAGGAGGAAATTCTTGTGCATCTGGTTACTCTGTAGGGCATGGTGTTTGAACTCACAACCCACCATACATGGGCATTCTTAACCTGTTAAGTTACACATCACCCCATTAGGAGCAGTTGGGAGCAGCAGGGTGAAGAGCTGCCTTGTATTGGGGAATCATGAGCGTGCCAAAGGCTTGCACAGTGATATCCAGTGACCTCCTGGGTCCTTAGCGATGGCGGTTCAGTAGCCTTCTCAGAAATTGATGAGGGCCATAAAAGTACTTGGTGTTCCTGAAGGAAGAACGATGAGGAGAACGTTTGTGCAGGAACATGACGCTGAGTGGTATTATCCACCTGGGAGTCTCATCATCATCATGTTTCTGTCTCTGGCTTAGTGGTGGAAACTGCATGGTACGAAGTCTCCACCAGGGGTCCACGGCTTCATTTGTGAGTCAGTCACCATCATCGACTCTGCACTGAGGAAATGTTGTGTTTTGAGAATAACCCATTCAGGAAGAAAGCCAGACGGAGCCCCATCTATTCTGAGTGACGGCGGCGGTCTGCAGGGGCCGAGTAACGTGTCACTGTTGGAATGTGAAGGGAGGTCTTTGGTCTCTGTGGTTTAGAATCTGCTCTGGAAAGGTCTGGCACCCTTTCTGTAACTATCCGTCCAAGTTTAGCTACGGCGAGCCAAATCCGGAGACAGTCATATTGACTGTTGTCAACTGCTCGTATTACTTCATATGTCATGCATGAAATTAATTTTATATGTAATAGGAACTTGAATACCAAATACAGGGTGCAAAAATGTCCTATAACCACTACAAATTGTGGAGCATACAAATATCATGGGAAATATTATAGATAAAACCAGGCATCTCAGTTCTCCTTGCAGGTATAGTTAGGGTTAGTTAAACGGTGGTTAGATTTTGTATTGTGCTAATATAAATGAATATAAGAACTATCTGCTGTACTCTACAGTTAATTAAATCCCCACTGACCTTGGTGTAAAAAATGCTTCTTTTTGATCTAAGTTAATGAGAACAGCGTTGCTTACTTTGAAATATTTTGTTAAACCTGGACATCCCTCAAACTTAAGTTTCTACAGAGCTTCTAGAATCCGGGGAAATATTGTCAACTGTTTATGTCAATAACTAATAGAATTCTTAGCTGATTAAGTGAAAATTAATTACTACCTACTCTTTGACTTTCTGTTCCTTATTAATAGCTACATTTTGTTGCCACTCAGCAGATCTGTTAATTAAGAAAATATATAGAGATTTAATGCTATGTGCGTAGTTAGAAGAAATCTCTCTCTCCCCCACAGAAACCACCAGTGCTCCTCCTGAAGGTGAGTAAAACACCCCATACTTTAAAATTGTACTGTATGAGCAGAGGTCAGAGGTCAGACAGCTGTCTGAGGTCCCGTGTGTAGGTGCGACTTGATCTGTGCTTGAACGAGAGTAAACATGACGTCGGGGATGAAGACGCAACAGATGCAACACTCAAGACTCTTGGAAGATTGATTGGGACGGTGGAACATGAGGAAGTTTAACACGGAAAGGTTCATGTTAGGGTTAGGGTTAGGGTTAGGGTTCAGGTTAGTCATCATCACTGCAGGACTCCCAGTTTTGTTAGCAGTGTTAGACGGTGAAGGTCTCAATGTGAAAACATGCCCAACGCCATAGCTGCATAGAGTATAAACTGGAAAAAATTATTATTACAGCTCTGGCAAACGAATAACTGTCTCCTCATGCAATTCTCAATGAGAACCACCTATGCTGTGAAACACCCCCCTCACATGGGCCATTCGAACCCCTAAGGACCTCCAACAGATTTGCGAAGCCCTGAAGTTCTGTGTGCCGCTTGAAGGCTGGGTCGACCTTCATAGTGTAGCTCGGAAGCCCCAAGTCTCTGTCATAAAGCCCACTGGTACAGCATTTTTGCTTGCTACAGTGTTTGTCACATGTACTCGATCAGTGCAAAACTTGTATGCTGATATCATACAAGGTCTCCCTCCCCCTGTCGATCTACCCCACATGTCATAGCAGCTTTTCTGTTCCCGTCACGCCAGCCGGCTCTTGTGTCGTCGCCTGACAGGACGTGCGCCTTCATACTCTGTGCTTGGCCCCTGTGCTTTGGTGGTGCGGAGTGTCACCCCCCTGTGTCTGTCATGTGTACTCAGAGAATGTTGCCCCAGACAGTATTGAGGCCCTGCCCCTCCCTGAGATCTCACTTGAGATTTCTCCGCCAGGTGGGTGCCTGTGTACTCTCACCATCCCATTCGCTCGTCTGTTACTTCCTGTTACACCCATTTGCTTTTAGCTCTCTGTCCCAGGTTCATCCGCTCCCATCTTTTTCCTCTGCTGTCTGCTTCACTGTCATCACGGTCCAGTGCCTTAGATACGTCTCTCTCCATCGATATCTTCTCTCTTTATCTGTTTGTTTAATCCTCACTGTTTGTTTCACGGTTGTACTGGCACACTTTTTTGGTGATGTTCCTGTCACGTATTTTTGTTTGTTTGTACACACTTTCTGGGTGGTCAGAGGTCCTTACTACCTTCATTTTGTTTACACCCCTGCCTCTCCTTTCTACATGACCCATTGAGGCAGCTGAATGCACTCAGGCAACATGGAAACACACACACACACACACACACACCAACCAGCCTCTCATGACTACTGGCAGGCTAACACACACAATCCCGTCATACTAATCTGTGGCTCCTTATAGAAACACCTGTCTGTATATACATACTTTGACAATTGCATCACACTGGTCACATGTCTAAACATGCTTGAGCACTGAACACATACATATGATTAAACAGACACACACACACAGTTGCACAGCCTTGCACTGGCCTTGCTGCCCCGTCTGCCTGGCTGCTCGGTCCTGCTGCTGCCACTGGCTTCTTGGTGCACGATTCGCATGGGTTTGCACGTGTGAATGAGCTGTGACGGGGGGGGCACCTTGGACCCCAGCCTCTCTCACAGTGTAGAGCAGGAGCTGTTCTCCAAACTCCGTGCTCAGCAGATGTCTGTGGCGGGTGGACAAACGGAAGGCCTCATGCCTCCTGGCCCTTGATCTGGCTTTCAGTGCTTTTATAAACATCCAATTTCTTAATGAGTAAAAAACCCCATCAGAATGTGGCATAAATGGTAATGTCCGCTGAATTTCATGAGAGCGGTTAATGCAAATGCCACTCTTTTAAATCAAAATTCAGACTCGTCACAGAGTGAAATTTCAAAATGCACAGATGCACAGAGCTGGATAATGCTGCTTATCAATGAATCACTGCACTGCAGATATAGAATACTAGACTGACAATTTACTTTAACCTTTCATTAGCTTGTTCTACAATACACTTGCTATAAAGCCTTGACAATCTTTTGTTGTGAATGAAAATACGAGTAAAGATTTGGTTCTTATACATCACAGCTCAACTCTTCTTTCAAATACAACCGTGGCTTCCAAGGCTGAGGACTGGTCTAGTCATTCTATATCTATGCCAACCACCTAATGCATTGCAGTGCAATGCAGCTGGTTAAGCGTTGCTCCAGTGTTGTGCTCGCCCAGTGCTTTTGCAGCCTGGGTGATGCACTGAAGGCCCACTGCTTTAGCTGGAGGGTGGGGGTGCTATGTGTACTGTACAGAAGCTGCAAACGAGGTACCAGAGCCAGTGGTAATGGGGGAAATGAAGGAGTCCATGGAGGGCAAGGTGACGGAGCCCATAGTGGCTGTAGACGCAGGGGTCACGGAGGAGGTGCCCTGCATGTCCCCTCCCCCTGGTAAGTACAGAACTGTCTCCAGAGTGTGCTCATGACTTCCAGCCACTAGGTGGCGCTGATAAGCTTTGTAGCAGTACTCTCCAGTTCAAGAATATGATTAAACTCAAATTGTTATTGAGGGAAAAACCTAAATATAATGACAGCGTGCTAAATGTATGCAGTGTTTTTGCATGTACATGGTGCGGTATTAGGGGCTGGGGGCAGTGGCTCAGAGTGAGTTTTTACTGCTGGGTGGGAGGTGACAGCTGAAGAGCATTATTAACCAATAATAATTCAGCTAATAAACACCATTCATGTGCTTCAGTACAACCTGTGGCAGAAAGCTTTAATTTTAGTGTACTTTCCAGTTGTGCGGTTGGAGGATGTATTTTTTTAAATCACCAACGTCACATGGCCTTTCGACGCATCGCAGATGCTTTTTACACTGTGGGCCAATATAAGATCCATGCTCATTTTTGTTTGTGTGTTAACCCAGCTAACCCAGACTTAGTGCTTTGAAACAGGGATCTCGTCCTACAAATTTGTCATCTTCACTGAAGATGTTCTAAATGTTTTCCAGAATACAGATGTGGTCCATTTGCGAGAGAAAGTATTAACACACTAACAGCTCAGTTTAATACGTAAAGGGTCTGTCATCCACGTATAAGTCATTTTACACAAAGGTAAGTTTAAAGTATTGGTAACGGACGTGGGACATAATTGTTCCTGTGAGAGTAGAGTGTGTGTATGTAACCTCTGTGAGCACAGCATGTGTTTTTTTGGGTAGTTACTATGTACAGTCTATGAGATGTTTGTGTAACCAGCGTTTGATGTGTGAGTACTGGGTTCATGCTGATGGTCCGTAACTGTGTTCTGTATGAGTCCATGTAACCAGGGGCATAGGAAACAGGGGGACGGGGGGGGGGGGGGTTGGGTGTACCCCAAATTTTTTATTTGGCTTCACTCCCCTCCCCCCTCAAGAAAAAACAAGAGACCTTTGCATTTAAATTATGAAGTTGTGTCCCCCCAATATTGAACTGCTACGCCCTGGTCTGTAACGCCTGCCAGCCTCGCCTTGCCCAGAGCTGCCAAAGAACATGGAGCAGGAGGGCACCGGGCTGGTCCCCGCGGCGGCAACTCCACCTACACCTCCACCTCCCATCCCAGAAGGGCGGAAGCTGGGTGTGACCTTCAGGCTCTGTGCTTGTGTAAATGCCCCCCACCCCCAGAGGATTGCCCCTCCTGGAAAAGAGAGCCGACAGCTGCCGATCGGCCCAAATAAAGGGCCCGGCTTGGATTCTGTTTGCAGCAGCGGTGACATCACCGGCGAGCCACAGATAGTGCGCATCACGGACCCCTGTCGCTTTCTCGGAAAGTTCAGGGACCCGGAGCTGTCACTTGTCAGCAAGCCTCCGCTGACCTTGTCTGACATTGTGGTGGAGCTACATGACTAAAGTAGAAACCAGCTTCCCCATTAGTGCTGCATGTATCTTCAGCTTGTCATCTGCTCTGTCTATTACTCATGTCTTGGATACGGTGAAGATCGTTTTGGCCCGTTAGATTCATATGCTGATTACTGTAAGCTTCCGTGTTTGCTCTCCGTGGAAGTGCTAAACGGCACAAGTCAACACGCTGAACTGTGAAGGCGTGTCAGAGATACGGAGAAGGTGCTCACTGGTGATCTCTGCTGCTGGAGACAGAGCCCAGGACCTGGGCCCTCCTGACAAAGAGCTCTGCTGGAGGATATATCTGTCAATTTCCCAGACATGGCATCATTCTGATTAACTGCCGAGTCTCCATCCATTGGATACATCAACTAGCGTTCCCCATGACTGCATTGTGTGACGTTCCTCAGTTTTTATTGTATCTTGCACCAGCATGCATGGCCTTATTCACGCTTGTTTCCCACAGCGCACGTCTGCCTCCACTCCCCTCCCTCCATGTCACACACACATCCGTGGCTTCACACGTCACGCTTCTCTGCGGTGATCACGAGTGCATCCATACCACCCTCCTCTGTGCCACCTTCACGTGTGTGGTGTCACACGTGTGTGCTTCTGTCTCATCGATACACGTTTGCTCTCATCACGCCCCCCCTCCATGTCGTAAACATACATGTGGTCTTATGTGTCGTGTCTTTATCGTTGCTTGTTCTGCCTCCCTGCCGGTGATGGACGTGGGCCTCAACGATTGGTACCCCAATCACACCTTTATTGCAGATAAAGATGAGGATACCGGCATCAGCACCCCTTCACCGCCGCCCCCTTCAGGTTGGTAACTGTAATAACCATGCCTCGCCACCCCTCTTCTACCCCGACCATGACGATAAACATTAGGTTCTACGATGAAGTGAATATAGAACCAATCCATCTCCTCTGTTTGAGAGTCCGGGACGGCAAGGACATTCCAATCAAGTTTATAGATCAACCTACGTTCTCTGTTGGCGACTTTATCGGTTAGGTGTTCAAGGTGTTATGGGCAACATTTTCAAAAACAATAGCAAGCATTCTCTTCGGTATACGGTAAAACTCTACGTAAGCCACTAAATAGAAACTCCCGTTCACTTCCTCAGAGACGTGCAGCACCAGTTACAGTAGGTTAATGGGCACATGCTCATCAATTAGTCCACATGCTTTTCCTACATAAAACATTTTTATAACGCATAGCTTCTCAACTAATGCTATGTATGTATACGCATATCACATACATGTATGCTTTTCATATGTGTGCTACCTTTAAAATGCAATGTGAAAGACAGCTTTCCTACAAGCACACAAAGCTTCTTTTATTTGGTCCTGGTTATATAATTTTATAGATGTGACATTACGCATCTATCATATATGCAGAAACAATGTATATGTGCTTTGTGTGTGCAGTCTGTGTTTATATATTTATAAGTAACACGTGTACATGTTTGTACTGATGAAGGTTTATGTCCAGCTGTAGTAAAGCCATCCTTGATTTGTTTCAACGCACATTTTTAGCATAACTGATATACAGGAAACAATCTATGAAATGGCCTAAATTGAGTTAGATGTTTAAATCTTGCTACTCCAATGCTACTCCAAGGAACAAATGTTAGAGGATTTAAAAAAGTAGATGGACCTTCATTATATTCATAATTAGTACTTTAGGTGGATATTTTTGCTTATACATTCCACCCTCAGCCTGCTCCACCTGTTCTTCCTTCATATTCCTCTCCTTAAGATCGGCAGATTTTCACCTCCATTCTCATTGTGCTTCCCTTCACAGACGACGCCGGTTCACTCAAGAAACTGTCTGTAGACCTTGCTAGTAAGGATGGCTTACAATTCATAACAGACGTTCAGTTCTGATGGAGCCTGTAGGTTAGGCTGACATGGAAGAACTGCCTCTTCCATAATAAACATGTTCTAAGACATGTTTTATTGTTTTTAAGAATTTACATTAGAATTCTGGAGCCAGTTAATTATTATGAGTAATGGAGTGCAGCTTTAATCCGTAGCCTTAACATTCATATAGAGAGGGACTGTTCTAATGTGTGTTCCACAGTTTCTCACTTAAATGGTTTGTTTTGTCACATGGGATTGTCCTTGTCTGTGTCCATGCAATGCTTGCTATCGTTGCTATGCTAACATGTAACACCACTTCACTTATTCATAAACTGTCCTTTGAAATTCTTTTCATCACATATGCAGTCATCCATCGACTTATGTCCTATTATGTGACATCCTGCAACGTTTGATCGATCTTATGTCTCATGACAGCATTAATAAAATATATCAACAGACGTCCGATGCAGGCGCAGTGGACTTTAGAGGATGTATTGTACCACGTGTGCGGCGTGTGGAAAGAACTAAATCAAACCAACTGTACATCCTCTACAATGTGTCTATAGAGGTTTAGTCAAATCTGTGTGATTTTGTATCTCATGTTATACAGTATATTTGACCTCTGCCCTATAATGATTGAAATACGTTCAGATTGACTTACGTCTTTAGTTCTGAGACACAACCCAGGCATAAGTCGATGGATACCTGTATTTTGTCACATATTAAATTATTTATTGCAGAAGAATATTTACACTTCAGTTTATTTAGTACAGCCTTCTATCCAAAGCAGTGTGTTTCTTTTTTTCTGTTGAGAAATCAGGGTCAGCCTGTCCCTGCTGCAGTTGTGGGTTAAGGCCATTGCTCAGGGGCCCAGTGGTGACATCAGTCTGCCAACCATGGGATTTGATCCAGCGACCTTCCAATCATAAACACAGCATCTTAACCCACCAAGCGACACACCACCCTCAAAAATCATACCTGTTTTACTTTGACATTTCACGCCTGCCTCTCTCTTCTATCATTATCAGGGCTGGATCTCAAACCCAGATATTTGGTACAGCGGGCCAAGCAATAACCGCTGAGCTAATCAGGAATAATTCACACAGCTGCCAGATCATATACCACATAAGTACAGCATGTCACTATGTTAGTCCCCAACAGCACAGATGCAGATCGCTAAAGATAGCACTGAGGTGCACTGCACTAACACTGCACTAACACTGCACGCCTGCCCCTTTGTGTCTATCGTGTGCCGTGTGCTTGCTGCTTTGTACTTTCCGTCACCATTGCACATTTTATTTTATAAACATATTTTTATCTTCGTTTAGATGATAGCGTTCCTGAGTCAGCTGTGGGGAGGAAGGACTCAGGTAATATTGTATGATAGTAGCCGTAACAATAACAGGAACAACGACAATAATCATTCAAATGCTATAGGAAAGCGATGTCCGATGCCAACCCAGACGCATTTTCAATCCGTACTCTTAACATTCGTAAATGTGGGGTCAGGTACAGACCGCGGCTGGTTTGTTAAACCATGTGGATACTGAGCCTTGGGGGGAGTAGAGATGGAGCTGAGCTTCCACTGCATAACCGCAGTGACTTTGCTAGAGCAGCACTGGAACCTGTAGGGGGTGATTATTTATCTATATGCAAGGAAAAGGCTGGAATACAGACAAGAATAATATTACGGAAGATACTGGAAAGGTATGGATAAGATGGATTCAGTGCATTTCAAGAATTGTATGGAACTTTCTTAAAAATTCTCCTACCATTTTCCAATGAATGATTTACTATCAACAGTGAAGCTGGTGAGTGCTTTTTCTGTGATGTGTGGCTGTTTCCATGATTCCCGAATCCTGACGAATGAGAATGAACAGATGAGTCAAAGCGTCCTGTGTGGGTCAGCCAGATGTCGCTTCTGAAGGGGCACTGACTAGGTGATGGTGCCTCTCTCCTGAATGAGCAGTGTGGTCCCTGGGAGATGGACAGCCTCCAGAGGACTTGGACAAGCAGATTGAGACCCCCCCACTCTCCACCCTGCTCATCGAGAAGCCACAGACCACCTCCATCAACGTGGGTAAGTTCCACGATCGCAGCTTGGTTGAGCAGTGATGGTGGGAGTCCGGCTCTGACAGAAAACTGGACGTCTCAGTTTTTTAGGTGACTTAAATGCAGAGAGATCAAAATGGCAGCCCTCAGTGGAGATCGCTGACTTTTGCATATTGTCAGGGGGCGATGCCAGTTTCATTGCTAAGGTGGAAGCCAAAGACCTGCTCCGGAAACCCACAATTAAGTGGTTCAAGGGGAAATGGATGGACCTGGCCAGCAAGACCGGGAAACATCTGCAGCTAAAGGAGAGCTTTGACCGTTTCACCAAGGTATATGAACTCTGACCCTTTTGAAAGTTCAGGTAAACAGCCCTTGATGTTTCAACGAGACGTCAAACGGGGCTCTTCAGGGTTAGCTGTGAACCCAGTTGCAGAGTGGTCTCCCACATCCAAAAGAACGAGAAGTAGCAGAGGTGAAATTTGGTCTTCAGTTTGCAAAGTAAACTGAGGTGATGGACGTGGTAAAATTGAAAGTATATTGAGACCAAAAGCCTTCATTATAGGGACAAGAAAAAAAATCCATAACTGCTCAAGAAATATGATGTATTATCAAGCCATAGATCACCGAAGAACCAGACAGATGGCACCAAGAATCAGCAAGTGCTGTGTCAGGAAAAACATTAATAGGGCACTTAGATAAACAGCTGCAGGTGGTGACCAACAGTTGGGTAATTAAGTAATAGGCAGGTAACCTGGAATGTGTGAGTCTGGAGACGCTCTCCAGTAGTGCAAGTTAAGGGTAGGGTTATGAAACGGGGTTAGGGTTAGGGTTAGGGTTAGGGTTAGGGTTAGGGTTTTTAAACAGTCTTAAAAATTGTGTAGGCGATACCAAAAACACAAAACCACATGCATATAGAGCAAGACATTTTGTCAGAATCCCCTTTGGTGTTAATGTGTCGTCCTGCAGGACCCTACCAGTGAAGCTCCCTGTTTCCTGCCTTGTTCACCTGTAGATCCACACCTTTGAGATGCACTTCATTAAGGCCAAGGCGGACTACTCCGGGAATTACAGATGTGAAGTCACCTACAAGGACAAGTTTGACAGCTGCTCCTTCGACTTTGAAGTTAAAGGTCAGTCACACAGTGTTCTGTAGCTGGATGCACACTGGGGGCCTTTTTATTAGGTACCCCTTTGTAGGACCAGGTGGGACCCTCCTTTGTTTCCAGAACCGGGCTTGACGAGCTTTGGATTCGGGGAAGCCTTTCTGCACTCCACTGTTATACTGAGCTGTTATTTTTGCAGTTGTCACCTTCCGTTCTCCTCTGGCCTCCCTCATCAACAAGGCGTTTTCGGAAACAGAACTGCCGCTGAATAGATTTTTTAAAGTATTGCATCATTCTCTGTAAACTCTCCAGACACTGTAGTGCATTAAAATCGTAGGAGTGCAGCTGTTCCTGACATGCTGTAAGCACCACGTCTGGCTCCAGCAATAACAGCATGTTTAAAATGACTTTGATCATGTGTCTTAGCCATTCTAATCCTTAGCCACACAGTAACTGTACTTGACCTTGTCTACATGCTGTAAATATTCAGTTGTAGGCACATGATTTGCTATTTGTAGAAGTGGGATGTTTGCATTAACGCACAGAAGTACTTAATAAGTTGGCCGCAAAGTGTATGAGAGTAGATGCATTTTGTGATTTACTGTCTTTCAGATGTTCCAGAAGCTGCTCAAAATATCGACATCCGCTCTGCTTTTAAGAGAAGGTAACAAAGTACCCATCAGTGCCATAGCAACTATCTTAGACGACTAAGATGTTACTCTCATGGTTGAACTGATATCATTTGGGAAGTTTTTTTTTTTTTTAATTTGGGGATTATCGAGGACTACCCAAGTGGATTTTGCAAAAGTCAGTCTTCTCACAGGTTAATTCATGATATATGAAATATTATTATTATGCTGTTCTGGGTACCTGATACTATATACAATGATTCTGGTTAATTATAGGCAACAATACTACAGCCTATTACAGTATTTTATTCTATATAGAACTGAAGAATAGTGACATTGTTAGTAACATTATGATCTTAATCCTGAGACTTTAGCAGATTAGCATAGGCCATATTAATCCTTTGCATATTTGTGTAATGTAGATTCTTAAGTTTACACATCTTAGAATTGTTGACTGTAGATAACATGAAATATAGTTTAAGGGCCTGTTTAAGGGAATGAAATGGGGGAAAATGGCTGCACGCTCCCTCTTATGAAGGGTAACGCTGCTGAAGCACGGCACATGTGCAATCAACTGCTGGGAGAGACAAGTGTCTTTATGGTTGGGTATGGACAGACATGGCAAACCATGGCACTTATCTCGGCAAACCATAGGGGGGTATGGTTTGGCAAAATGCCCCGATTGCCGTCAGCCTTCACAGCGATTAGGCCTTCATAAGGGGAAATTCACAAGGTGAGTCAACCAAGTTGGCACACCAACCGGATACGAACCATTTCAAACTATAAATAAACCATTCAGGGAGACTCCCGTTCAACGATGCGTCAAAAAGCAATGCAAGTGTCCCAGATCGCACATGGCGATCTCCTTATGCTGCCTTGTGGAGGTGCTGTCGAGAGAACATCATCATGTGTATCACCCTCAGTTTCCTCCTTATACAAACCGCTTCGCTCAGAGTCTCAGTTAGCATGGAAACGACAGCGTTTTTGTATAAGGCCCAAGTATGCGTTAGTTTGCGCCTAATGCATAGATCGCATTATCTGCTGCTGCTCTGCATTGTTCTTTTACGCATTGTTTTTGTGGTGCCTGTGTCTGTGGTATTTATTAATCTTTCCTTGTTAACAACAGCACTGATGGGCAAGAAGACGCAGGAGAGCTTGACTTTAGTGGCCTCCTTAAACATAGGTGAGAAAAACAGTCGGCCTCTTGGCGGCTGGAGGCTGTTCCTACCAACGCATCACTGGCTCACTGAGGGCTTTCAGCTGCTCTTACTTCCTGTTTATTTTCCTTGTTTGAACACCCAGCTTTTCAGGCCAATCATGAAACACTTTTGTCCTTCAAAATTTAGTCTTAACGTGGTACTAAACAGAAGATATTCACAAGTACTGTATTTTATTTTTTATAGTATATGAAGCTTTTATAGTAAATCTATTTAATTGAGCAATATATAGTAAATAATACAACTTAAACCTCAAATATATAGCCCAACTCTTTATTCTTGCTGGCAAGAAACAACAGACAGTTGCATTTTGGGTTGTCATACAAATATTTCCTTTAGCTGGACTTAATAGATTGACACCAGAATGTTATGATTCCATTCCCATTGGTCCTAAAAAAGTCACTCTTTTTTTCTCCTATGCATTCAGAAACAGCAGGTTAGTAGAATGAATAAGTAATTAAAATATTCGATCTTAACACTGGTAAGTAGTATAAGCCTGCAGTCTCACCAGCATGGACTGTAGCCCGAGGACCCCGGGCAAGCAAGAGTGGTGGCCCAGAGTAGCCCTAACACTTCATTTAGAGGCAGCATTTATGCATCCTACAGCAGCCGGGATCGAACCTGGGAAGGGCTTTTGCCTTACAGACATATGGCACTGAGAAGCCCGCAGTTCTAGGGGCTGTAGGTCACTCTGCGCTATATGGGTATATCAGATAGCAGCTTCTCACAAGCGTTTGTGTCCCGCTGGTGAGCAAGATTGTAAATGCTGCTGCAAAATAGTGTTACCGCTACATTGTTGTTACGTTGCAACATATATATATATATATATATACACGTATATGTGCTGTATATGGTATATTTATTATAGTGTGGATGTCAAACTTCTTAATACCTGACAAACGGTAATGAGACCATATTAAAAAAAAATGGAAATGCATTTTATCTGCTTTTGCCTCAAAACTTTCAGACATTGGGGAATGTCTCCGAAAGAAAGGATTGGTGGCGTGACTGAAAAATGAAATCACCGACTAAACTGGACCCTTGATCATTAATGTTGCTCATTAACATCTTTGCTAATGCATTGCTAACATCTACAGACAAGTGCCCTGTTAGGCTTTTCCCCAGTGGCCTTCTGGGTGCTGTCATGTCTAACACAATCTACTTAGCATCATGTGATGGTACTTCAATCATTACAGGCAGATAGCAGCTGTCCAATAGTATTTCCCCTGAATCACATCCAGTGTGAATCATTTTCACCGCAGTTCCATGTCCATCTCCCTGCCACCACCAGTATCCCAGCATGCTTTGCACAGAAGCTACTCCTACGGAACATTAGGGCTGCCCATTGATTGCACTTTTCCCATTCATGTTTCATGTTACATAAAAAAATGCCATATTGGTAAATGCAGAAATAATCCGTCAATTCCTTAGAAATATATAGCTTTTAAACATGTTTGGCAATTAAGCTATTTCATCAGCTTATTAATTACATATACATTATTACATATACGCTATTTGTATTTTACTGCCATAGAACACCCCCCCCCCCCTTCCTCGCCAAGACAGTCACATGACCACAGTTGCAGGCAGAAAGAGTATCGGAATCCACCCCCCCTCGTCATGCGACATGTCCTGAGGAACTCCAGAGTGCACAGTTGCATGATGTCATGTTGTCACATGATGTAAGCCAAGAGGTGGAGGTGTTTCTGCAGACGTCCATTCCTCAGAAAGTCCAATTCACAGTACAATCTCATTTCCAGATGCCTTGCTCAGCCTAGCAGATATACAGTATACAGTACAGTATACCCAGAAACCTCTTCTGCAGTGACCTATTGCCTCTGGCCCTGGCCTCCAGAGAGAAGTTCCTCAGAACATGTCGCGAGCTCTGCCTGTCAAGCCCCACGCTAACACCCGTCATGGCATGATGTCTGGTGTCCAGGGAGCCCAAGCAAGAGGAGGTGCCCGAGGTAGATGTGTGGGAGATCTTGAAAAATGCCCGACCAGACCAGTATGAGAAGATCGCCTTCATGTATGGAATCACAGACCTGCGGGGCCTGCTCAAGAGGTTGAAAAAGACCAAGAAGGAGGAGAAGAAGAGCGAAGGTAAAAATCCAGGTCCCAGACATTATTGGCATATTACTTAGGTCATGTCTACACAATTACACTGTTCCCAAGCTCACACAGTAGCCAAGACATTTTCACTCGTTCTTGGGGTCAAGAGACTTTGAGGCTATGGCTTAGAAATTTCTAAAAAGAAAGTTATTCTTTCCTGGGCATTTCAGGGTGTACTCACACTTGGCCCCCTGCCAAGTAACATACCCAAGCATGATTGTACCCCCTTCCCCTTCCCCTGCTGGTCTGCGCCCACATTACCTTTAACGTTCTGGGACCGAGCATGGTTTCATCATCACCGTGTGACTTCCTGGGCTAAAGAAAACGTAGGAAAGGCATGATTGCACAGCACAATGGAATTCATGATTAATGTGGCTTATTTGGAGTCATTTTGGGTGTGATGACACATAGCCCTTATATAGATTTATCGAGTATACGGTGCAACAATTTTTATTGAATCCTGCTGCATGTATAAGAAGATCATTGCATCTTTTACCAAACATATCAGAGTTTTTACCAGATCTGACATTCCAGGTCTACTTCCTGTATGGTGTACATGAGCAGATGCGTGTGCTAGTCACACCAGTGATGTCATATATGTGTTCAGTGCTCAGGCATGGTTAGCGATCATACTGTGTGTACTGAGTCTAACTAAACCATGCCCTGGTCCACCTCTGCAGGCGATCACAGTAGTCAAACAAACCGAACTTTGTGGGTCAAACATTCTTGCCATGGTATATTGCCTAGTGTGAGAACACCCTCAGAGAGACAAATGAAGATCCGCAACTGTTGATAGCAAGTCTCACATGAGTTCTATCATCATATCAAAATCAGCTCACTTGTGTATTTCCAATGCTTCCCTGGGTTTTATTTGCCTTAAAAATGCAGTACAGAAAATACAAGGAATATTCTCAATTTTTTAAGCTTTTGCGAAGAAGTTAGAACCTGCATATCAAGTAGACAAGGGAGGGAAAATCCGGCTTGTGGTGGAGTTGGCAGACCCAACAGTGGAGCTGAAGTGGTACAAGAATGGACAGGAGATCCGTCCTACTCCAAAGTAAGTGATGTCCTCCTCTCCTGTCTCTTTTCTTCTTACTGCACATTTTCACTTTGCAATTTCTTACAAATGAATGACATAAAGGGGAATTTCTCCATAGAATATGTTTCTTTTGTGGTATGTTCCTCACTGTCTTCTGTTGCCTTATTGGTTATCTGTTTGCCTCCAGACCACATTTGCAGAAGAACTTACCTTTATAATCCAGATAATGTAAAAGCTCACAGCTGCCGTGTTGTTGTTGCACTAGTATGGTGAACCAGGATGATTAGCCAACAATATGTTTTGAATTGGTAAGTGGCAGGGTAGGGAGTACTCAGGGCCCAATCAGCTTTCACCTGGAAATTCAGGTTAAACACATTGTGAGCTAGACAAAGTCATCTGGGAGGCTGCTGTATCTTTGCTAGTCTATGACTCTGAGGGCCCCTGTCTCAGGATCCCTGGTTTTGATGCTGCACCCCCTTGTCCTCTTTCTTCTTGTGGTCATTAACGATTTATCCAGTTCCCTCTCAACATGACATCTCTTTGTCCTTCTGTGCTGTTGTCTGTCATGTGTCCCCATGACCTTCCTCCCTGCCTGCCCTAACGTCGATTTCCTGCACATTCTGCAATCTGCTGCCGTTCCCCAAGCCAAAGGAAGTAAGTCTGCATTTCATCTCTGCATTGATGATAGTGACCCTGGTCCTGAACCCTTTCCTGAACACAGAACAGTACTTTTGAGACTCCCTTTGTTGTGATTATCTGTAAGGCTGTCCAAGAAAATTGTGTTGTCCTCTCTTCTTTGAGACACTTTTTGTTTTCTGGGAGACTGTGAGGTACTTCTTGGGGCAGGGCGTTGATGAAAAGATCCATTCCACAGATATATCTTTGAGCACAAGGGCACCCAACGGATCATGGTCATCAACAACTGCAGCAAAAATGATGATGCTGCCTATTCCGTTCGCGCTGGTGATGAGAAGTGCAGCACTGAGTTGTTTGTTAAAGGTATATTTCAGTTCTATTATATATTCATAGGTTACGTACACAGATATTGATACACACACATATCATGAAAAACTTGTGTCCCCAAAAATCCAGTATTTTAGGAGGGTGAAAAAAAAGCATTTTCTCAGAAACTACTTTATAAAATAGACCTAAAACAACAACATGAGACACTTTAACCATAAGTAGAAATCTGTCTTTACACAGCAGCCAGTGAATGGTTTAATGTCCTAAAAGGATTTACATGGATTACTATTAGAGAGGTATATATGTCAGTGTCAAGGAGATGCAAACTAATTTCACTTTATATTCACTGTCAATGATGTTAATTAGATAGCTATATAGCTATCAATGTTAAGTTGGTAAAATCAGCGATGTAAAGTAATCCAGACAAACAAGCATCATGCATGCAAATGTTAATTTGTACAAACACGGTACTGCTTCATACTAATAGTAGTTATTTGCATGAACTCATAAAACATCTTTTCATTGGTCAATTAGATGTCAAACGCTATCAGTAGACAGCGGAGAATGGGCGTATTTCATCTATAGTAAAAAGTCACAATCATCAAAAAGTAAAATACGCAGTTTTCATCGGACAGTGACGAGATATGTACGTGTGTTTATTAGGGAAACGTGTTGATGTGTTGATGTTGTCAATACCTGTGACTTTTGTCTTGCTCCTGCTTGTCAGAGTTGCCGGTGAATATCGTCAAAGAGCTCGAACCTGTAAATACCACAGTAAATGAGAGAATCGAGCTGGAGTGCGAGGTGTCTGAAGAGGGAGCCCAAGTCAGATGGTGTGTCTTGCTTGCCTTTGTCCCACAGTCGCTCATGACAGCCAAGATGGCTAAATTGACTGATGGAAGTGTTTTTCACAAGGAAATTGTGGCTAGGAATCCATATCCTGTGTCCTGAGCCATAGTTCTGTCTCCTAGGCTGAAAAATGGTGTGGAGGTCCAGACTGGAGCTCGCTCACGCTACCGGATCAAGAGCGAGGGAACCAAGCACCTGCTGATCATTGATGATGCTACGAGGGAGGACTCAGGCACCTACTCCCTCATGGCCACTGGGGGCACTAGTCAGGCCAAAGTGAAAGTTGACTGTATGTATCACTGCCTACCGAACTATCTTATTCCTCTTTCTTTTTTCATTGCTTTCTTACAACTTTATTTTATTTAAAAACCATTCCTCCCATTCTTTCAGAGTTACTCTTCCTTTCTGACACTCCTCAGCCTCCCTGTTATCTCCTTCCTTCTCCTTGCCTTCCCTCTAGTGAAACCCCTGAAGATCATACAGGACCTGAGTGACATAACGATTCGCCTGGGCCAGCCACTGAAATTGCACTGTGAAATCTCCCCGGGAAACGTGCCCGGCCGCTGGTACCGCAATGGGCAGGCGATCCAGGCCATTGAACGCATCAACATCTTGCAAAGAGCCAGGTACGTCCCATCGTCTTTGTAGCCGAGAAGCAACTTCCATCTGGTTAAAGCTTCCGTTGGCTGTCTTCATCCAATCATGTATACATTTTCTCCAAATGAAGACTCTCAGCCCATAAATACATAATAAAAACCTTTGTCTAGATCTTCCTAGTACAAAGACCCTATTCCTTCTTTCGTTTGAAGGATCCAAATTTCTAAAAGTGCTTTTAGACAAAGATGGCCCTTTTAACAGCCTTTCAAAGGTGCCCATCCTTAATATTTTCCTGATTGAGCACTTTTTGTCCTTACAGGAACCACAGGTTAGAGATTGAAAGCTCCGTAATTGCCGATGCAGGGGATTACACATTTGTGCCTGAGGGATATACTCAGAAGCTCTCCGCCCATGTGCATATCATAGGTAAGGCCCTCTGGGAGAAGAAGATAGCTGAGAATGGCACTGTGGTAAAGACATAACAAGTTAGGGCACTAAATCTTGAACATACACTATATGGCCAAAAGTATGTGGACACCATCTTGGCCAACATCTCATTCCAAATCTAAGGGTATTAAAACTTAGTTGATCTGCCCCTTGTTGCTATAATAGCCTCTACTCTTCAGGGAAAGCCTTCCATTGGGTGTTGATTCATTGCTGGTGGGGTTTGTTGCTGTTCAGGTTGGGTATTGATGTTGTGTTGCGAGATCCTTGTCTGTAAACTTGCTCCCAGCCATTTTGCCCATCACAATCACCTCACCAGCTGCTGATCAGGGCAGCTCTAGCTGGGCAGATATGTGGTGAACTAAGCTGTTGGAAAGATGGCATCTTATGATGGCGGCAAGTGTAAAGTCTCTGACCTTTACTGTACAACCGACCATTCTGTCACTGATGTTTGTTGCAGGAGACTGTGTGACTGTATGCGTAATTATACAGCTATGTCAGAAATGGGCGTAGCTTTTTTAGGCAATCCTCATTGATAGGGGTGTCTACATATATTTGACCATATAGTGTACATCTAGCTAAGGAGCCATGCCTGCAATGTAAGCCAAGGTAAATTCCTGGGACTACAGTGTAAGTCCACAGACACAGGCTACCCAAACAGATCACACGAGTCATGTGACCTCATCCCTACAGACCCCCCAAGAGTTCATCTGGACCGTCTGAACTTCCCTGACAACACTGTGACCATCGTAGCTGGTAACAAGCTGAGGCTAGAGGTCCCCATCAGCGGAGAGCCGGCCCCCAGAGTGGTGTGGATGAAGGGGGAGCGGGTGAGTCTAGACTGCCCTGGGAGCAACCAAGGGGGGCTCTGAACAGGGGTGCAAGGATGCCAATGTAGTTGGTTGTGTACTGTCCTAAATGAGAACTGTGATACACAAGGGAAGAATGAACGCCCCCCGCCCCCACCCTGTAGGTGATTCTGGACACGGGCAGCCGTGTTCGAGCTGAGACCTTCCCTGACCACACCAGCCTGACCATTGATATCACAGAGCGGGAAGACACAGGAAATTACAAGATTGTACTCCAGAATGAGGCGGGTGAAGACTCAGCCATTGTCAAGGTGAAGGTTGTGGGTAAGGAGCTTGAGAAAGACCCCAAACAGGATGTGTCAGTCCAGAATGTCTGATGCCATGGTGACCAGATTGCATGTGGACATCTTTCCAGCACTGTTATGACCAAAATCATGTACATACTGCAGTTATCATAAGAATGTTCCCCTACTGTAGGTATACCGTTCTGCTGGGAACTCCCACACTCTCCAAACACACGGCTATTGGTGAATTGGTGTCTCTAACTTGCATTTAGTGTGTAATTCTGTGTGTTAGTATTCAGGTTGCGATGAGCTGGCATCCTATCCCAGATGTCCTCTACCTCATACCCTGTTCTTCCAAGGAAATTCTTCAGGCTCACAGTCACCCTGTACTAGATGAGAAGTTATACATGGATGGATGGATGGATGGCAAATTGTTGTGCAAATTATTTTATGTATACTGTATATAATTATCACTGTCAGAATTTCCTGAGATCCTGTTCTGCATGTGGAGTTGAAAAATCAACAGACTGTCAGGATTTAGTTCCAAAGAACAACTATTTAGATGAAATTTTAACATGTATTAAAATGGATTGTCTCCTCTCAGATATTCCTGATCCACCAGAAGCCCCTCTCGTTACTGAAGTGGGGGGAGACTGGTGCTTTATGTCATGGAGTCCCCCTCACTATGATGGAGGGTCACCCATCTTAGGTAAGTAAGGGACGTTGCTGTACAAACTAGGGTAAATAGGGTGTTATAAACCCCGATTTAGGAGATTCAGGACTATAGCTAATGTTCTTCAATGAGTGCAGCCCTCAGAGATATTTGAATTTGAAGGACTTTGAAGAAGGTTTAAATATGGGTGGGTGCTGTAAGGTAAATATCACCTCTGAGCTTTGAAAATCCCTTATTTTAGGTGTAAAATAACGCAATTTCTCAGAAATTGCTTACAAAATAAACCTAAAACAAAGTAATGAGTCACCCTTCGCACCACAAATAGAAGCCTTTACACAGCCTTCACAAATACTCAATAGTGACTACTGAAGTACAAACCATGAACAAATATAGTACAAATATCTCTAGTAACTACTAGAGATAAAAGATGTGTCACTATTCATTAATGAATAACAAACATGGGATCAGTATTTCACTGTTCTCATGCTCGTGTGCCTCTATCTGTCAGGCTACTTCATAGAGAGGAAAAAGAAGCAGAGCTCCCGATGGATGCGGCTGAACTTTGACCTCTGCAAAGAGACCACCTTTGAGCCCAAGAAGATGATCGAGGGGGTCCCCTACGAAGTGCGCATCTTTGCCGTGAATGCCATCGGCGTATCCAAACCCAGCGAGCCCTCGAAATCGTTCGTGCCCCTGGGTGAGCATTCTGGTGCCCATATTAGTCCCCTAAGGCATGGAACCTTACCCTGTGCACAAGGATCTGGGACTTTAGCCTAATGGTTAAAAGCACAACCCAGGAGGTCACAGGAAAGCCATTTTTCATTGTACCATAATTCAGAATACATGTAGCTTCTGGGATAGAGTCTGGACCCTGTGATCCTGCATAGGACTAGTGGGTACGGAAGATGAATGGATGTTTGAAGTCACATTTGACGTTCTGTGTTATTCTCCATGATGACACGCATCATGCACTGGGCGGTGCCAAGTCATTCCAGGGTGTTGTTTTCCTCTGAGGGCCAGACAAAGGGACTGTATTGTGAGCTGAGAAAGGAGGCGTTCCGCATGCCTGGGCTGCCCAGCTCCCGTCCCCGCAGCTGCTCCACGTCAAACAATGCGACACAGGCTGTTCTGCCTGTGACATGTGTCTGGGGGGGAAGACAAATATGTCTTTATAATGGCTGCCAGAGAATGTGGGGCATAACGCTTTAGTGACATTTGGCTTCTCCCACCCAAACTCTGACCCAGCTGTAAGCTGCAGTCAAACCATTTTTAGAAAGTCAGCTCGTAGGAGCGGAAATGTAACAGATTGGAAATATAAGACCACGTCATCTGAGAGGCACGATGCTGTAATTTCTACATGAAACATGTCTGTAGCATTTGTGTAATTTCCTGTCCGACTGACTTTTTACGATGATGTGCACTGTAGCATTGTCAGCATCCTAAATAGGCATAGTTTATAGTTTAGTTAATGAGCGTTATTGTGGTGAATGATGCTCTCTGATGCTCTCTGATGCTCTCTGATGCTCCCTGATGCTCTCTGATGCTCCCTGATGCTCTCTGATGCTCTCTCTTGCTCTCTGATGCTCTCTCTTGCTCTCTGATGTTCTCTGATGCTCTCTTCCTGCAGCGGTGACCAGTGAGCCCACAATGCTGGTGGTGGATGAGGTCACGGATACCACGGTGACCATGAAGTGGCGGCCGCCAGACACCATTGGCGCGGCGGGGCTGGACGGATACATGCTGGAATGGTGCCTCGAAGGATGTACGGGGCTGCTGCTCAGTAGCTAGTGCGGCTAACACACTGCCACTGCATATAGCACTGATATGTGACATTTCTGCAGTATTTTCCTATATACATGCAGGCTAAAGAGTGTGAAACACACGGCCAGCTTTCTTCGCTGCTGTTTTCAGACCGAGGACATGGTCTCCTTAGGAAAAAAACCTGAATATAGCATGCTTTCATGAAGTACTTGAATTACTGAGTCTATTTTTGACCTGCTTTAGCTTGACGATGATGATGCGATGTGCTTGACAGCTGACGAGTGGATTCCTGCTAACAAGGAACTTGTAGAGAAGACCAAGTACACCATTACTGGCCTGCCAACAGAGGGCAAGATCCTAGTGCGTGTCATGGCAATCAATGCTGCAGGAGCCAGCCAACCCAGGACCACCCAGCACGCCATCCTGGTCAAAGAGGTGGTAGGTGAGGTCATAGGTCATTGGTCAAGTTCTGATTATTTTGTTTTTGCACACCAAGAGTCTTACTAAAATCAAGTTATTATACTTAGTACAATAGTACTATACATCTTCTAGACAGTTGGTCGGACAACTTGTTCAATCAGAGACTCCTTCAGTTCCACTGCAATAAGATTTGTTGCAGGAGGTCATTCCTACATCCACAGTGGAGTCTTCTCCATTGAGGCAATGCACAATGCACATTTACATTTATTTTGCACACTTAAAGGCATATCTTCAGGGTAAGTCTTTAGTTTTTAAATCCAGTATAGTACTTTTGTATATTTGTACGTATATAACTTATGTGTTATGTCTTCCTTTATGCCTACGTTGTGTGTGTGTGCATTTCTTTTTCATTTATGTGAATTGCTACTGCAACCCAAAAATTTCCTTTTTGGGGTAAATTAAGTACTCTGAATGTGAATGAATGAATCTGAATGTACAGTACAATAACTTCTAGTGTGAGGTATGCCCATCTGCCTCTAATCCCACCTTCTCACGCCAATGTAACCCACCAGAGGCGCCCAAGATTCGAGTGCCTAGGCATCTGAAGCAGACGTACATCCGTAAAGTTGGGGAGGCTGTCAACCTCGTCGTACCTTTTGTGGTAAAGCTGCTAAATAATTCTTGAAAAGAGGAATCATCCTGCTGCTTCATGTTTAGAAGCATGTGCTAAAGATTTAAGTCAGTTTTGACATATAAAAACCCAACAGGCCTCGTCGGGCACTACTGGCCGTCTCTGTCTTATTATTTTGATGATGTCATGCCATTATTTTGATGATGTCATGCCTTTGGCTTCAGTCGTCCCATGACCTGTTTCCAGGGCAAACCCAGGCCTAAGGTGACCTGGCTGAAGGAAGAGCAGATCGTGGAGCCGTCGCAGGTCAGCATCCGCAACACGGACTGCGACAGCATCTTCTTCATCCGCAAAGCTGAGCGGAAGCACTCCGGGAAGTATCAGATGAGTGTTCAGGTGGAGAAGCACGTGGACACTGCCATCCTGGACATCCAGATAGTGGGTAAGTTTTGGGACAGCAATTCAGTACTCACAGAAGGTCTTGGCATGCTTGCTTAATTCTGTAAAAATGTTGCAATTTTTGTGAACAAATTAATTAAGTAATGCTTTTTGTCATAAAGCCAATAAATTTGTTATATTTTTGCTGAGTTAAGCAAATGTCCCAAGACTTGCTGCGACCACTGTATATGCATTTAAAATGTTAACGTTACATACATTTAACATAGTGTTAAACTAGTGTGGTTTAGTGGTTCAGGGGGTAGGACTGTTATCTCACCCCCTACCAGGGTTCTGTGAGTGTGGAGGTTTGCATGTCCTCCTTGTGCTTTATAGGATTCTTCTTACAGTCCAAGAACCGGCACTTAGGTATCTCTGAATTTCCCAAACGGTCCGAAACATTCCCTCCGTTGGACTGGCGCCCCAGCTAGGGTGTTCTCTACTTTGCACTGTGGAAAGATAGATGATATTATACGAAATATTTTCCATGATTTATAATGAGGCTTTGATTTATGTTTTTAATGTATAAAATCAAAACGATTGTCTTGCCAACCCCCACTCCCTCCCCAAAAGACCTTCCAGGCCCTCCTCAGGCAGTTAAAATAGATGAAGTGTGGGGCGTCAACGTGGCGCTGGACTGGACCCCCCCGAAAGACAATGGCAACGCCCCTATTACTGGCTACACCATTCAGAAAGCGGACAAGAAAACCATGGTGTGTAGCTGTTGGTGCTGTTGGATTGGGCCTGATTATTTAGGCTGTATCGTTATTTAGTTGTGTTCTGTAAGAGCTGAGCCCTTCAGTAACTGTGGCTTGTGCAGAGTGTTGTTTGTCGCTGACCATGCTGATCTTGTGCCGTTTTTCCACCCCGTGTCAGGAGTGGTACACCTGCATAGAGCACTACCATCGCACCTGCATCACCATCCCCGACCTGGTGGTGGGGAACGAGTACTTCTTCCGTGTGTATTCGGAGAATATGTGCGGACTGAGCGAGAGCGCGACCGTGACGAAGGACAGCGCCCTTATTGTCAAGGAAGGTGTGTGCAGGTTGGCCGCAACTCCAGGAAGTAGCTGGTGGGGGGGGGAGAGACGAAGGGAGCTCAGAGATTACTCACTGAATTACTAGTACAGAAGCTACACCACTTCCCTGGTCACTACTCCTGAGTCTTTATCAAAAGATTTATTGCTAAGATACACATTATTGTAAAGACAGTCTCTACAAAAACACCCCTTTTATATGAAGTCAGCTTTGCATACATCCTTCCCTGCTGATTCACAAGCCTAAGGTCTTCCTGCACGACTGTATGCTCTTTATGTTCCTGCATTGCAGTTTTTTTTTACATGCCAAACCCTTTTATTTCAGAGAATAAATTCTTTTTTCACGTGAGAGTCATATGAAAGTGACCCGCTGCGAATGGAGAATGCTTCTGCATGTTTAGAAGCAGAAACAGTAGGACAGATGCATATTGATCCCGATTCCCCCATGATTTGCTGAGTGCCAGTATCATACAATCCCGTCACCTTCCCTCCCCAGGCCTGAACCTGAAGATTCCGGATTACAACGAGTACGATTTCACTGAGGCCCCCAAGTTCACCCAGCCGCTGATCAACACGTTTGCTGTGGCAGGTTACAACACCAGGCTCAACTGCAGTGTCCGTGCCAATCCCCGGGTGGGTCTGTCATCCTCATGCTGGCCATATGCAGACCTGCCTCTTCTCAGGTTCTGTCCCAGCCCTGTTCAGGAACCCCAGGTCATTCCCCCTGACCTGGAACAGGCTGCTAGGAGTGACGCCTCCTTACAGGCTGTTTGCATCAAGGTCCATGCCTTGTTTTGACCACTCAGCATTGTTCATCCACAAGCAAGAAGCCTGAAGGCCATTTAAAATGTGTGAAATGTGCAAAATGAGGTTCTGGAGATGATACATTCATTGTATTCTAACATCCTTTGTACTCTGAGTTCTGGACACCTTTGTCATTCGAATAAAATAACGTGTAATTTTTCCATTCTGGCTGTAGCCTAAAGTCATGTGGATGAAAAACAAGATTATAATCCTCGACGACCCACGCTACCGCATGTTCAGCAACCAGGGCGTCTGCACGCTGGAGATTCGCAAACCCAGTCCCTACGATGGGGGCGTCTACACATGCAAGGCCATCAATGATCTTGGGGAAGCACAGGTGGAGTGCAAGCTGGAGGTCAAAGGTCAGTCCTTATTCTCCAGAATATCACTCTGCCATATATCTAATGATAACTGCATTAAAACTGTAATACACATATCATAAATACCCTAATTAACAAAGCACACACAGGTATATTTTTATGTAAATTACACAGGTTAAACATAAAAATCAGTTTTTAAATGCTGTTGAGGTAGTATTTTTATTATCTCCAAATGTCTTAAGACTCTGTTCTGCCAGAAGAATATGGAGATTTTGAGTGGCCCAGTCTTTGGACTCCTTCCAGGTGTTTCCATTCGGACTCCTCTCCATATGGACAGGCTCAAAAGCCCCCCCCACTGTCACTGATAGCATATCAGGTGGCTGGCGGCCGGCCCGAGTATACACAGGCAGCTGGCCCTGAACCGTGCTGCACCTATTCGCTGGGGCCGTCTGCACTAGGCCGGCTGCTGGGGGCAGAGGTGACTCTGCATGTTAAAAATCAATTACAGCTTCTGAATAACGGTAAATAAAACATGCAGTAGCAGATGAACCGCAGAGAAACCTAGAATCACTTCATGTTCATGTGCAAACGTTCACAGTGGGGCACTGGAATGCCCTTTGCTTTTGGTGGAGCCGTTCATTGGCTTTGATGACCTACTGTACACCTCACATCATTTCTGAAAGGTTTTTTTTTATATCTTTTTTTTATCTCCTTGGCTTTGGCTTTTGGTTTCAATATTTCCTCCCATGAGCACATTACATTATTCTACATTTTCAGCATGAACTCATATTCCTGGATGGCTCTCTGAAGCTGATCTATTGATCTATGCTCAACTGCACCATGATTTTTTTTTAATCATGTACCAATTGTGTAAAAGTTAATTACAGCAAAAAGACTTTTCGGAGCTACCGTGTGGCCATGAACCATTCAACACGGAATCATTCCAGAAGGAATCCCTCTAGTTTATGTCAGTTTGTCATGGGGGGGGGGAATGCTCTCACAAATGATTCTTCCAAGACAGATGAAATCCAGTGGTATTAAGGCCCTGTGACTGGCAGGAACATGAAGGTCTGCTGTAGGTTTGTGTTTCTAAAGCAAGCGTAAGATGAAGCCCACATTAGCCCTGTGGACAGACTTTCTTTAGGCCTAGAAAACACCCAGTAATTTGTATGCTCACCTGCAGATGGAGTTTAGTTTGGCCTAATAGGATCACATCCGTCGGCGGAAATGCGCCCTCTCTCTCTGCTTTGTCTCGCTCCTTATGGCGGCCCGGTCACTAGGCCAGCTGAAAGCCGTTCATTCACTGGTAAACGGTACAAAATCAGCAGAGAAATCGGTGAACTGGGGGGAAATTTCTTGGACCGCTGAAGTGCCAGTTTGAGTTCTTAGTCTGGCTTAATTGTTTTCAACAATGTTTTTTAGATTCCAGGCATTTTTTGTTTTGATTTTCATTTTGTCTGATTCTTCTTTGCCTTTGTTTTATGCTCTGTTTTGGATTTTACTACGATGATTTCCAAGGGGTCCCTTTTGTGAAATGTACTTTTTCATCTCTATAACCTTTCAATGCCCTTATACTCTTCCCATGCATACTGAGGTGCATGTGAGCCTAATAATGACATCACAGCCACATGTTACATCCTATGGTTTGTTCTTACCTCTAACCCCTGGATTACTCTCCATACCTTGACCAACATGCGTCATTGTTCACATCGTGTTAACTACTCTCAGTATACACCTCCTCCCATAATGCACCAGTTGTAAACTAATTTCTTGCCATGTAGCAAAACGGATTAAGGCCAATATTTTGCTTTTTTATTTTTATTTTTACTTAGCTTTGTAGCACACTAAAAACTTTTGTAAAGTCTAGTTTGTATCTTTGTGGCTTTAGTAAAAGTAGAAAAGTGTAATAAAAATATTTACATGATATTAAGACAAAAGTCACCTTCTTAAGATTTTCAAAGTGGCAACAAGGTGTGATTTCACACTTTTACAAGTTTGTTGTCACTGGTTTAGTCACCAAATTAATGTCCCCTGAAACACCTATAACTCCAGTATTCAGACCTAATGAGTTAAATTCCTTTCAGTTTCATAACACACACTTCCAACTGCCAAAATTCGTAACACTAAATATCGACACATTGTGGACTACAAGGCGTTTGTACAAGCATGACGGGTAGACTCAAAAAACAAATGACATCATACGGTGTTTAAATCCAGCACCAAAAATAGATATTAAAGCAGGAGAAGTATCAACACTCCCACAGTAGGTCCAAAAAAAAGGAGGCAAGCTAACGGCCAATTAGCTACACGATCGCTATTGTTCCCCAGGCGTGCTGATCATAGGGTACATAAATTAGGAAAAACCGTGTGGATGTTTGAGCCAAACTCAGAGACACTGAGTGGATTTCCAGTTGAGTCGGTTTGCCAGAACGGCGGAGTCTCGTGACAGTGTGCCGGAATCGGACACTTGGGCCTTGGCTGCTTTAACTATGCTGACCCCTCTTCTTTTCTCTCCCCTAGTCACCAAGGAATTGTGAATGTACTGTATGTTCTCATCCAAGGTAAGCTTTCATATGGTTCTGGCATATGAAGCTTATGTCATTCATTCTGCACCTGCCAATAATCCAGCAGATGCTCAGCGACTGGAGTTAAGAGGCAGACAGTCAAAGTCGGTGAAAGGAAAAATGGGACTTCAGGACAGAGCAACAGTGTAGCAAATATGGCTAATGGTGTGCGACCAAATCATGAATAAATGATGTGCTTTTGTTAGTAAATAGTGGAAGAATGCGTGTTCAGTCTCCTGTCCATGTATGCTACACTGTGCTTGTCTTGAAGTGTCTTACCTTAGGGAACTCAGGGACTTTGGCTGTCTGTAGTAGAGGTTGACGTTGAGCCTCCTGCTTGCATAACATATCTGCCCTGCTAACAGCTTTCTGATCTTCATGTAAAGTTTACCATACAAAAGGTGAGTAACCCCAAGACCAGAGTGAACTATACCAGAGTCCATTCTCCTAGCTAAACAAGACAAGAGTCAAATCAAATTCCACTAGAAAGCAAATGAGAGCGTTACATGCATGTCACAATCATACAAGTTCCTTATACCTTATTTGAGTGGAAGAGCACTTTGTATTTGGTTTTACTCACTACTTATCTGTTCATTGGTCCAGAAGGCCAGACTGTAGAACAACTAGATCTTTGGGGGTTTTTGGTACTGAGGGGCTTGCAGTTTTTTTCTGACTAGTGTTCACATATATTCTTCCTCTCACTTTCTTCTGACAAAATTTCTCCCCCCACTATGACCTTCCTCTGCCGTCTGATCTCGGACTGCACAACATCACATCCCGCTGTAATCGCGATTACGTTGCGATGTGATACCGTGCAGCGTAGCCTGATCACTGACCACACCGTAGTCTCTCTTTTTAGTCCACCTACCCCTAACTCAGTCTGAGGTTGTCACCCCCCTAGAGACCATAAGCTGAAGTGGTCCCTTCTCACCTGTTGCACGGACACTGACTGGGCCTCTCATCTTTCCCCCAGGGGGGATGAACTTCTCTGACCTGCTGCATCGCGGAGTTCCTTTACATCTGATTGATAAGTTTATGAACGAGTCAAAATTGCCTGAGCCAGAGAAGAAGTGATCGGAATACTGGCTTCTGCACTGGAGCTTCACCCATCCCTCCTTCGTCCCAGCCATCTGCAGCCAATCAGGGGCTCGTGGAAGGAAAGGGGGCGGGGCTTCAACACAGCATGCTGTCTGTACTGCAAGAGTGGAGCTTGTTGCCATAGACTCAGTATATATACAGCTGTTTCAGGCCCTGTCTTATTAAAGGCTGATGTTTAACAACTATTTCAAGCTCAAAAGCATGTCAGTGGTGTTTTTGGCAAACTGCTTTGTGTGAGACATGTTTGGTAGTGTGGAAAATTTGAATGAATAGTTCTGATTTCACTCAACAGTGATTTGTACGTGTCAAGGGGAGACTGCGGTAAACGCCCTCATTTGGGAGCTGAATAGAGGGGAAGAAGTTTAAGGAAGGTCTCTTGATTTTTGACAGAAGTCTGTTTAAACCAGCCTCTAGCCAGTACCTTGGTGATTCAGTTTTCCAGTTACTTTATTTTATATATATATATATATATATATATATATATATATATATATATATATATAAATAAAATAACTGGAAAACCTTTGTTTTTTTTTTGGTTTTTTTTTTGTGAGGCCATAGAACATAGTTTACTCAGCCTGGAGATCAGAGCATGCTTTTAACTTCCACACTCATTTGTAATTTATGATTTACTGAAGGCAGATGAATAAAATGTCATGTGTATATATGAGGGTGTTGGAGTGTGTTACTTTATGTTACTTTATTAAAACTTTATATGTATTCCATAAATAGGATTATAAACATATGGGGAAAAATAATCCCACAAAAGGTTCTAAAATGATTCTGTACAATGTGAAACAACGAGCAAGCACTGATGAAAAACGCTGGATACGTATTACATGAATGGAGGCACATTTTTTTCATTGCACACATTCGTTATATACTTCATTTGTGAGAACATAGAGGCATTGATCGAATTCTGGAAATGAAATCAGACGCCAGTGAACACAATGTATAGCTTGTTATTTATTGCAGTTGAATGCTTAAGCAGTCGGTAGATTTCTTTAGCTCGGAGTCACTAGGAATCATATCAGTCTCCAGCGGTCTGAAGCTGAACCATTTCACAGTGCAAGAAGTCTGACCGTGCGGGCGTTACTTATGGACGTAGATTTGGACTTATCTCTCTTGTGGGCGTCATTTATGAAAACTGCCTTTAATGTATTAAACAGCACAGTTGTTTTAACGCAATGTATTAACGCATCAGTTAAACGGATTTTCCTCTCCAACGACCCCTGTGGCAGATATAGTCAGTAGAAGGCGTGCTTTCGGATTCATATTTCCCGGTCGCATCCTCTTCCGGGCGTGAGTTTCCTGTCCAAGCCGCTCGAGTCTCCAGCCCGGGGAGCACGGATCGCTGGCAGAGCGCGAGGACGCCTTCCGCCGCGCAGCGCCTACATGCGCGACCCTGCACCGACCGGACTGGTGGCGCGTGTTGGAAGCCGCCGGACACCGCAGGCAGCGCGTTAAGGGAGCAGCGACGATGCCATCCGCTGTGCGGCTGGAGCCGCTCTCAGCCCAGCAACTCAAGCGATTGGAGGAGCACAAATACAGCGCGTCGGGGCGCTCCCTCTTCGAGCCGCCTTGTCAGATATACTGGAACTGGCTGGTTCAGCAGATCCCGACCTGGGTAGCTCCCAATACACTGACCATTACAGGGCTTATAATCAACATCGTCACGACGGTTATTCTGGTCTTCTACTGCCCGTCTGCCACGGAGGAGGTAAGCGGTGCTCTGCTTTGGCTCCGGTCACCGTAAACTTTGAGTGGCGCTTTTTGCGGGGGCCCACATGCTCGTGCCGTCCGGCACCGGCGCCCTGTCTCGCGGCGAATTCAGGCATCCCTGTTTCATCACAATGTGCAAACGGCTTGCTGCTTTAAAATGTTTTGAGGAATTATTGTGATAACTGTTGCATTAAATATCTTATTAACATACACCTATGCGCACTTGCAGTTTCATATTATTATTATTATTATTGGTGTTGTCAGGTTTCAATATTAACTAGTAAACGACTAGCGTGACTAGACAAACTTGGTCCTTCCTTTTCACAATAACGCCTGTGTTATAATCTCCCACCCCGCTCCGCAAGGCCTGCCTGCATGTGTGCGGACTTGTTTGCCGTGATCGATATTATTTTAACGCACTCGGTTAGCGTATTGCAAACAGCTGAATTGTCACACACCCTACTACGAACTGAGAATAACAATGTTAGCTTTGTCAGGTTTCCAACACGTCACCCCCCCCACCCAAGTTATCTCTCGCGCGACATTGTATCGAATAGTTACGATCGACTGGTTTGGAAAGGATGTAACCACCAAACATCCTGGATCAAAGTAAACTGATCAGCTAAACATTGTATAAGTTTGACACACTAGGACTATGGACGCATTCCTGTCTGCGAGTCACCCTTCACTGTCTTGCTCGATCCCCCCGAGATGACAGGTGACATTTCCGTGCGGAGTGACAGACATCACCGCCTGGTCCCCGGCCAGAAGTTACCGTAGCTTTGAACACAGTGAATTTTATCAGAGGACTTGACAGCAAAAGAGTCACATCGTGCTGCTTTTAATTAAATATTTTAACCGATTTTTAGATTTTTATGTACTGTGTCATTACGGTTACAGCCAGTTTGTATACATCTAGAGTACATATATATTTACTATTTGGAGTATTGTAGTATAGGTTTTATAAGTACCTAATACCTCTATTTTCTTTTATGTTTACTTGAATTATTTAATATTTATTGTCTTCTATGTATTGGAGATAAACGTCAAGTGAAATTCTTTGTAAGTGTCACTTTACTTGGGTTATAAAGCTGATTAAAATAGACTAAGCATTAAGGTAAAATTAAGTTTTTTTGTTTCTCAATATTTATTACATTATTTGGCTGATTTTTTTTTTTTAGAAGTGTTTTCGTTTAATACCATATGTACATTAACAGGGTCGGACAGAGACTCTTACAGGGTTGGACAGAGACACTTACAGGGGTGGACAGAGACTCTTACAGGGGTGGACAGAGACTCTTACAGGGTTGGACAGAGACACTTACAGGGGTGGACAGAGACTCTTACAGGGGCAGGTGCGCCACCGGCCCAGCAAACACAAGATGCCTGTCGGACATTGTCTAAATCGCGTTGGTCGGTCCAGGACCATATCTACATCTGCATGACGTGCAAGTCATGTTCAGTATTTGGACGTCTGACCACGACCCCTTTTGTGTGTAGATATGCAGTTCGATATTTGGACCTCTGGTGGAGAGATTTTTTGGACATTTGTGGACGTGCAGGACAGGTGCAGGGTATCCAAATATTGGGAATTCAGAAGGTTCATAAAAACTTTAATTCCGGCTCCTCAGGGGGCAAGATGTTCAAAAGATGTACTTTGAACATATCTTTGCTCAGTGGGGGGAGGGAGGCACTTCCTTTGGGCAATGGGGTCGGTGTCTAGCCCCCCCAGCACATTAAGCTGCTGCCTATTATGTTTGCACAAAAAGATATTGTCAGTCAGGTGGTTTATTACAGAGGATCTTTTAAAAGTTTTATAAGGGAGGCAGTGAACGGCTGTAATAAACATCTCCGGTATTGAGGAGCTCTGGGTTGTATTTATTTCCAAGGTTTCATCACCGTTGTGCTGATGGTCGAGTGACATCTTGCCGCCTTACAAGGTTGCATGTCTGGCCTTTCTCTTCCGCGTGCGTTTTTAAGGTGTGCGTTTCTGGGAAGGAGCCGGGAAACGGGAATTGCATCAGCAGACGGAGGATCAGGCCCTGGCAGCCTGAGAGCGTCCATACTGAGGGGACATCTGGACCTGCGGGGCAGACGTGTGCACGCTCACACACACTCACGCATGCACAGTTACACACCTGGTGATGCTCCAGGCAGCGCATGCTGTTAAACAGCCTGTCTCGCTGTCTCTCTGACTCCCCCAGTTGCCTCGTTATGGTTATCTCTGCTGGTAGGCCCTGGTCAGTGAGCTCAAGCCCCTGATTGGCTGTCCCCCACATGCCAATTTTACATGCGTTTTCCTGCCGCATAGTCACTGTTCCGTCTTCCAGCTCTCCGTTACAGCAGCGTAACTGGGCCGAGGAGGTAGATAGGACAGTGGGGGCATGAGTCCTACTTAGCGCCCCTTCACGGCCAACGCTGCGTGGGTGAGTTGGACCTCCGGTCAACAAGGGCAAACTATTCATTTTACCGGCTTGTTCAGGTTCTCGCTCAGTTCGGTCGCCCTGCTTCTGCATTGATTATGCTAGAAAATGCATCATACTTAAGAGGTCTTACCTCTGTAAGTGTAGCTAATTATATACATGCAGGGAATCAGATTTAAGCTTTTTCCAGAGCAAAGCCACAAGATGAATGTTGTGTAGCTGTAATGCCCTTTTTGCTAACTGCATTTCATTACACTGAAAATAAAACGGGCCTCGCCATTTAGCTGGGTCATAAACAGCCAGTTGCATTATATGATTTTGCGGAACTCGCGTGATTGCAGTAGCGTAACAGAACAGGTTGTTCGGCATGCCGGTTGTTTAAAAACAAAAGAACAACAAAACACTCCATGGGCTTTAAGCTTCTGCTCTGCTGTTTGCTCGTCGGCGCCATTATGCCCCCTGACTTTGTCAGACACCCCCTCTTCCCCTAAATGCACACGCCTCCCCTGTGAAAATCCACGTTACGCAACATTCTTTTCCAGGTGGGATTGTGGTCGTCGTATTCCTGTTCCAAACTGGGGTCTTTGAGGAGAATGACAGGAGAGTCCAGTGACAAATCCCTTTTAGCGTGCAATCACTTATACAGGTCATAAACCGCCCTGGTTCCTGTCACTAGGAGGGCCAGTTTTGTATTCCGTACTGGTGCCGGAACACTCCGGATCGTTTTCCTCATCCCTGAGCTCTGCCCGGCCCGACTGCCTCCGCCTTTGTTTTCATCCATTTTTCCGGTCGAATAAAAATCGATTGCCTTTTTCATTTACCTGCGTTTCAGACATTTCTACACCTTTGCTATGGTGACTTATTTGTTCTTTAGTCATTTAGTGAATCTTTCGCGTATTTACTTGGGCACCTTTCTCAAAGGAAACCGGTTCTCCTACCGGCATTTGAACCTGTAATTTCTTGCTTACGAGTCCGGCTGGCTGCCACTCGGTGATGCAATCCTGCTGTACCGTTTACACGGCTGGGAGAGATCATTATGGTGAAGGGATTCCTGCAGCGGGCGCTGCTGTTGGTTGCAATTAAACAAGAGAATGCATTTTGTCACTGGAAATATCATCCGGCTAGAAAAACGAACAATGGAATTTTAAGTATATTTTAAGAAATGCCTCTAGAACATTAAAAAAAAAATACATTTAGTTGTCAAAAAACAGGGAAGCTAAACATTTGGCATTTCATTTTTCTTGTTGTTGGTTAATATGTTTATTAACATCAAAGGCTTTGATTGGCCCCTTCCGGCCAATGGGAGAACAGCAGGGTGTGACTAGTCTTTCTCGCTCTCACAGGCGCCAAGCTGGGCCTTCATCCTCAGCGCATTTGGCCTCTTCATCTACCAATCCCTGGACGCCATCGACGGGAAGCAGGCAAGGAGGACCAACAGCAGCTCGGCGCTTGGGGAGCTCTTTGACCATGGCTGCGATGCTGTGTCCACAGGTACCATGTCAGAGAAATGTTGTGGACTTAGCTGATCTGTAACTCTGCCCACAGCTGTGCGTGGAGCAACAGGAGGATTAGACAGTTTGTCTAGGGATAGAGAAGCAGGAGGGTGTAGTGACAGTGTAGCTTAAGTTACGGGATCTCTTAGACACACATACTCGCTGTGGCCTTGAGGGAACAAGCTTGGATAGAGTTTAACTATTTACTTTAGTACAGCAGATGCTTTTATCCAAAGTGACGTTCAGGTTTTGTGGTCAAGTGCCCAACAATGACATCACTGACAGGCATTGGATCTGAATCAACAACCTTCTGATCACAGGCACAAAGTTTTAACACGCCGCCCTTGTAGTCGACGTGACCATTCGTGATATTTTCTGCCAAAAGCTATCCATTTTTATTTGCACGTCCCAGCAATTCATTTTCATATAGCGCCTTTTACAACAGTCACCCCAAGGCACCGTACATGGGCGGCTCCATTATAACATCATTAAGAGAGGAATGGATAACCTTCCCATCTCCTGTGTTCCGCCCAGTGTTCGTATCCGTGGGAACGTGCATATCCTGTGGAATGGGAGTGTATCCAAACTGGATGTTCTTCTGCGGCTTCGTGGGCATGTTCATGTTCTTCTGCGCGCACTGGCAGGCCTACGTCTCCGGGACGCTGCGATTTGGCCTGTAAGTGGAACCCCCCCCCCCCCTCAGTCATCTCTCCTCTCCCCCCCGGGGCTTGTCCCAGCTTCTCCCTCTCGCCCTGCACATACGATACCCGTTTGCAGGCTCTTCTTCTGTGTCTCCCAGCCCCAGCTTGCTGTTAATCCCCTTCTGTGCTCTCCTCTTCCAGCGTGGATGTGACGGAGGTGCAGGCGGCCATCATGGTGATATACCTGATGTCAGCCTTCGGAGGAGTGGCTCTGTGGGACACTAGGGTACAGCCTCTGTCGCCTCTCTCTATCTCCCCTTTCTCTCTCACACTCTTTCTTTCTCTCTTTCATACATTCTCTCTCTTTCTCTCTCTCTCTCTCTCACATGCACATGGGCACTGTGGTTGACCTCACATGGGCACTGTGGTTGACCTCTGACCTCACATGGGCGCTCACCTTAAGTCTGGATCCTACCTCCACCCCCCAGCATAACTGTTTTTTTTTCTTCTTCAAATAATTGTTTTTAATGCTGATTATCCTGATGAAAGGCTTTACATCAAGGTAACACCACATGCAGTCTGTTTCCCAGGGTTTGTAAGGAAGACCTATTCTCTCTTTCTCTCTCTGTCTTTCTGCCTTTTTGTCTCTCTGTCCCTGTCTACCTATTCCAGCCTGTCTGTCTTGCTTTCTCTGTCTCTGTGTATCTCTCTCTCTCTCTCACACACACACACACACACACACACACACTCTGGCCATTCCACGTGAAGTAATTAAAACAAAAGAATCACAAACCCTGATGCTCTCCACAGGCAGGCTCAGTTAATAGGATCCCTCCGTTTTTACTTACTTCTAGGCAGTAATTAAACTCTACAGTTACCGCTGTGGGATTGGAAATGAGACCTGAGGCTGATCCGTACCATTAAAAATGTGACACCGTGCAAACCACAGCTATGACCGGTGACCAAAGGTCATGCCCTTTAACGGCTCAGTGCCATTGGGTCACAGCACACCCAGATAAATACCCAGTGTTACACGATTACTCTTTGAATAGACCCTCTGTTTCACTTTTGCTCTGTGCTGCCCACGGAAGCTTCACTAAACTGCACATGGGAAAGCGCCAAGGTAATTATGGGATGCTCTTGTCATGGCAGCAGCTCGCTCATGGCCATGAACTCTTTGAACAGCTGACACGGCCCTCACCTCCCCCCCCCCACATCGGCTTCTCCTCCCATTGTGCTCCGCATGCTTACAGCTTCGTCTGAATACCGGAACGCTTCGGTAACGTCTGCATAACGTCGCCTCAGCCCTCGTGCCTCTTTCTTTACAGCTGCCTGTCATTGGGATAAAGCTACAGACCTTCCCCATCCTGGGAATAATCGGTGGAGCCATTTACTCCTGTTTCAACTACTTCGAAGTCATTATGAATGGTGGAGTTGGCAAAAATGGCTCCACTGTGGCTGTAAGTTCCTACTTGTTAAACTTGATGTGTGTAAAATGATCATGCTTTGCTCAGACACCTCTGTGATTCTGCTTTGCACTGACTGTACTTATTATAACACAGACGCTCCTTGGGTTACATTGGGGTAACGTTCCGATAAACCTATCGTAAGGTGAAAATATTGTAAAGCAAAAATGCACTTGATGCACTTAAAATGCACTTTAGAACACCTAACCTAACAAGCATCATAGCCTAGCTTAGCTTACCTTAACATGCTTAGAACACTCACACTGGCCTACAGTTGGGCAAAATCATTAACACAAAGCTTATTTTATAATAAAGTGTTGAAATACTGTACATCAAAATATCGTAACACGGACCATAGTAACCTGTGGAGCGTCTGTACTGTATGTGTAGCTGATATTTAGCATCTATTTTGCAATGTCAGAGAAGGGGCAGTTTGCTTGGTTTGGGATGGTGACTCAGGGAGGATCTGTGGCCCAGCATCTCTGAGGTTGTGGGTGTGATTCCCAGCTCTGCTCCTATGTGCGCAGCTTGTATGTTCATGTGGCTTTTCTCGTTTGTACTTGGGTTTCCTTCTGCAGTCCAAAGTGTAGTTTAGTTGAACTGTTGCCAGTAAACTGCCGTGTGTGTAGTGTGTGTGTGTGTGTGTCTGTGTGTGTCTGTCTGTGTGTGTGTGTGTCTGTGTATCTGTGTGTCTGTGTCATCCACAGTGTTCTTCTGCCCAGTACCTTGTTTTTCTTGGGATGGGCTCTATGCTCCCTGAGACCCAGAATTTGATGAATGGTTATGAAAAAAACAGTTGTTCTATTAGTTTTTAAGAAGCATAAAATACATGCTGTTGCGGATCACCATGGATTGCCAGGTCAGGAATTACCAAGAAAATGATTGTAGCTGTTTATAAGTAGTGTATTTAAACTGTGACTCGTCAGTTATCAACCTCATTAATCAGTATGACCGACACGAACGAGCTGAACCTAAGGAGGTGACCAGCTGCAGTTAGTGGGGACCATACCTGGATTCATTCTTTCTGCACTATGTTGACACATAACATCTAGCAGCCAATGTCAAGCGCTCTGCAATTCCTGCAGGACACCAGCGTGCTTTCTCCAGGGCTCCACATCAGCCTCATCCTTACTCTGGCCTTCATCATCTTCAAGAAGTCATCCAGTCATTTGTTTGAGCTCCACCCCTGCCTGTATATAATAGCCTTCGGCCTGGTCACCGCCAAGATCTCAAATAAGCTAGTGGTGAGTTGTTTCTCTCCTGTGGTCAACATTTTCTAGATGGTGGTAAGGAAAGAGCGGCTAACTGAACCTTATGACAGCGATTCTCAACCGGTGGGTCGCGACCCAAAAGTGGGTTGTGGAACCATTTTCACTGGGTCACAGATTCTGCGGTTAAAAAAATATTTTGAATTTCTTTTTGCTTTATTATGTTGGAATTTTGTGGTTGCAAATAATGCACAGTGTCATCCCAGAAATCTTGTATAACTAAGCAAACATTGTTTTACATTTAATACACCCCAATGCTCGGAATACCCTTCAAATAAAGTCGTAATATGGGTTTGGGATTACTTCTATTCTGCCACTGGACATATTGATTTTGATGGTCACAGCTGTCTGTGATGTTCACATGATGTCAGCCCACATTGACAGTAATGTCTCCGATGTTCCCCTCCTCTAGGTGGCCCACATGACCAAGAGTGAGCTCCATCTTCAGGACACCGCGTTCATAGGTCCTGGCCTCCTCTTCCTGAACCAGTACTTCAACAGCTTCATCGATGAGTACATCGTCCTCTGGATCGCACTGGTGAGTCATCCTGAGCTCTCCTCTGTCATCGCATTGCTGTGACAGTACAGATGTCATTTGTGGGAGAGACTCTAATGAGGATTTGTTCTCTTGTCTCGCCTTTCCTGGCCCGCACAGGTTCTGTCTGTATTAGACCTGACGCGGTACTGCACGGCAGTGTGCCTCCAGATCGCGGCCCACCTGCGGATCCGGGTGTTCAGCATTGTCCCACAGGTCTACGTCTCCCGTGACTGACTGCTTGCCCAGCAGGAGGAGACCGGGTCAGGGCACAACAAAGGCACCGACCCGCCACTAATGCCCGGGGATCCTCGGGACCTCCACAGCCATAACCTGATCAGCCTCGACTCTGCCGAGTCACATTCGTATTCGAGCAACTACTAAACCAAAACGCGGATTCTGACAGTGCTGGATGTAGTTATGGGATTATGCTTTGCCGTCAGATTTTGTTTCTATAATATTTCAATTTATACTTAGTCTACTTTGTAAGCTAACTAATTTAGAAACAAAACTTGTAGATTAATACTGAGACATTCCCCAGAGCCTTTATCTAGTACTTTTCATCGGGATATTTCCTTGATGGAATACCAGCATCCTCACTGCCTACTTGGGTAGGAGTTCAGAGACTCTGATCCAGTTTAGATATGAGGAATACCTGTCCTGACAGGCAGAGGTCCCTGAGGTCTGACACCACTGCGTTGTTTTGCAGCTGGATGTTGATATTTTACTTTCTGCTGTTTCCTCATGAAAGTACCAATTAGGGACTTTGTCATTTGTGATGGAGTGTGCCATGAGCAAGGTCCACTGTACACTAGACGGCTTACAGTATGCTATGAGTAAGGCTTACTTAACACTAGAAGGCCTACAGTATGATATGAGTAGGACCTACTTTATACTAGAAGGCCTACAGTATGCTATGAGTAAGACTTACTGTACACTCGAAGGCATACTGTATGTTATGAGCAAGGCCTACTGTATACTAGGTGTACAGTATGCTATGAGTAAGGCCTACTGTATACTAGAAGGCTTACTGTATGGCTTACTGTAAGGTTATCAAATGTATTTTAAGTTTCCTTGATTGAAAACTGAGCAACAGTAAACATTCCCGAAATTCCTACCGTTTCTATTCGGATGGGTCTGAGAGAATGAATGACATCATGCTTTGGCTGCTTTTATACGTAAAGCCCCCCCACTCGACGAAAAGCCAGCTGACATACAATGACGTAATGCTAAAATGCTAAAAGTTTCATAGTTAGGAGTGAAACCTGGGACGACAAGAAATGGCATGTGACTCGTCAGATATCGAAATCGAAACTTCTGACAGTTGTGCCCTGCTGCCAGTTGTCAGAGTTTGGATATAGAATGTGTTACATTTTTAGAATGCAGTGTTTCCAGTGAGCATAGTGTATATTTACTGCGGTACGGTGCTTTTAGGCAGAACTCAAAGGCAGCAGGCAGAGAACGGGCTCAGTGTTGGTGCTCATAGGTGTGGTGATACCCCCCTCCCCCCCCCCCAAGCTGCACACTCCACAGAATACTCCTTTTTTTCCTCCCTCTCCATTCTGAGAGCAGACAACCAAAGCCCTGCTCACGTCCCGCATCAGCATGATGTGCCAAAACACCCAGGGGTGACGTGAACGACCCAAAACATGTCCTACGGTCTCCTCCCTAAGGGCTAAGCGCGCAAAAACGAATTCGGCAGTAACGCTAGCCAGTTATTCTCCAGCTGGGCGTGGGATCCAGCTGCTGCACATGGAGTCAAATTGCTCAGCTGTTTTGATGCCCAGAACCAATATTTTTTTCATCAGTAGCTCATGAATTATGTAAGTAATATTTATAACGATAAAGCTGGAATTTTTTTTAATAAGGAATTCTGTTCTTTGTACGTCTGCAGTTCTGGCTGCACATACATGTACGTGTAAACTGTATACGTTTGGTACTGAAATACTTTTCGATTACTGGTATCACATATATGTATGTAACAATGTAGGTGTGGTTGACGGTGCTCTTCATGTGACAGTATCGGATCGTCATGTGACGAGCGACTTTTCCACAAGGGACTGTCTCAGAGGGCAGTGTGTTTAGAAATTTTGCTACCTTTAATAATTTATTAAATAAGTGCTCCGTTGTAAAATAAACTAACACATGTGGACTAAATGCTGTAAGGAATACTTGCAAGTATTTCAAGTCATGATGAGTTCATGGGTGTGTCATGAAGGTCATTTTTGTGAAATGGCTCAGACGTCCGTGGGGTAAATACCCCGCTTTGCATCAACGTGAAATGAAATACTGCTTTATAGGAGCCTCCCTGTAGTATGACTTTCATTTCTTACTCATAATAAGAATTAGGCTTGGTCAATGCAGTTGTGTAACACGAGCTATCAACACGTGCATTGCAGCGTGAACAATAAAAGCATGTGGCTTGTTATGCCGTTTAGCGCGTCCGCCGGGGGGAGGGAGGCGAAAACCTCCAGTGTAACTGTAGTAACATCTGTCGTATCACCGATGTAGGAGGACGGAGTCTCCCTGGTGATGGTGAGCCCTCAGAGCAGCAAGGATTGAAGAGTTATGCACATGGTGAGCATCTGCTGTTGCTGTGGAGGGGAAAGGCAGTGGGGGGGGGGGGGGGCAGCAAGCAGCAGTTACTGCGGACCTCACCTCTATTCTCCTGGACCCCACAGTCGCACCCTGAAACGGACCGTGACCCAGAAGGACCTGGCGCTCTTGCTTCTGCACATGGTTCTTTTTTTAAAATGTTATTTTTCTACAGAAAACCTTTTGTTGTGTGATTTGTTGCTCGTGCCAAGTTTCGGTCCGGTCAGCAAATCACGGTGCTGGGAATGTAAGGCTTCAGCACATCATTCCCAAATCTCCGTTTTGATTGGCTATTAAGGACTCATTCCTTGTCACTTTCTCCAGATCCTATGCTCACATGCAAATTGTGGCATTTCTCTGACCCTTATTGTGAGATAGCGTTGGTGCTCGTACATTTGATACAGTGCAGAACTTATTAAACGTTGTTTTTTTCTTCGTGACCCGTTCTTCTGCCGTCCTGATCCCTTTTCCGGACCCCACCTTCATCAGTCCCATCCGCCTTTGCCTGGCTTAGCCTTGATGAAAGGGCTGCGGATGACAGCTTTTCTCCCGTATAAACCGTTTTGCTGGCTACACTGTACTTTCCAGAATATTCTGGTCATTTCATACATGGAATTTCATTCAAAGTTTGTGCAGATTTTAGTGTCACTGAACACTAAATGTATCTCACTTTTATGCCAAAGCAACACTGATCAAATGTGTAGAAACTTAAGTCCCCAGTTGCATACTTTTGATGGTGCTGTTGATGGCTTTTATAATTTAATATATTTAAATTCACTGTAGATTCCACGGCTACCTGACCACCTCAAACACATCCTTTTGTTCGTCAAAAAACAATCTGCTTGGGGTACCTAAAATACTCAACAATCATGAATACATATATATGTAAAATTTTGAAATAGATATTATATTGGATTTTTGACTCCATAATGTGTTGAGATGGGTTATAGAACTGTATAAGCGTTCATGTTCCACAGGACTACAGGCAACACACATCTTACGGTTTAATAAATATAATTTTTTGTGGCATGTTGAAGAAAATGTGCCATAACATTTAATTTAATTGGCACAGAAGTTTCTACCAATTATATATAAATATTCTATTGCCCCCCCCCCAATATTTTTGTTTAATTTGTGGAACTGAGGCTGTGGTTACTATTATACTATTACTAATTGTACCATATTGAATATTTCTCATATTTAAATTTTTGCAACCATTGATAAATCGCAGGACGACTATCGAAGTTACTGACAGCTGTTGGTGAACATGCGGCAATGAATGTCAGACGTTTTGTCAAAAAAATACACGCATGCAGTAGCTTCACTCAGTTTACTGGCGTTGGGCTTGGTGACAGGATGGTGGTTAACGTTTACAGCGGTTTCGAGAGATGGCCGCACTGTCCTCGCAGTTGCAGAAGCTGCTCGTGTGTTTTTTTTTCTACACAGATGGGTTGATGCTCAGCATTGTAGTGGTCATGTTCTATAAAGCCCTTCAGTATCTAAAGCCAATGACCAATAGCTTTTAACAGGTGTGGCCATTTTGTGGAATATACCTAATGATGATTTACCAACTGACACACTTTTTTCCAGCTCTGACCATTTTGAGATAATATAGCCAAAACTCCTGACTCATTTTAAACTTTGTTCCTTATGTCACTGTTAAGTTTATAAACGTACCATAGAGTTAAATAACACAACTCAGCCTCCACTGGGAAAAAAACCTTCAGCAGCAGTCAGACAGGTTTACCAGTTACTAATCATCATGAGTAAACTGAAACATCATCTTTATTTCCCAGCACTTGCATGGTAAGATGTGAGCTCACTGAACAGTCTCCAGTGCTATATGTTTGGGCTGGGCCTTTGTGTGACGGAATATCTATGTACACATGTGTATGGGCAGGAACACTGAATGAAATGCATCCATGTTCGGTCCTGCATTTGACTTCTCCTGTTACTCTGATATCTGCATATGACTCTCCCACAGCCACAGTACTGAACAGGAATAATCTCGGGACCCCGTTTTTAACCTGTGCGAATTACAGGAAATGTCAAAAATGAGAGGCCAGACAGCAGGGGAACGGCTTCACTGAAATGCCATGTTGACATTACGTAGCCCTGGTTTATCGGGGAGTTGCGGCTCTGAAACATTAAGGCCGTCACCGCTGAGGGGGGAAGCCCTAGATGGCGCTCATGTCCCACGGGCTCTATGCTATCGTACCAGGGAGCAGTGAAGCTGAATCACCCCAGTAAAATGTCCTGCTGTTAAACTGGGCAAACCACATAAACCACTGTGGATGGATCCATTATCTAAGCACCGAAGTGGAAAGAAAATATTTACATTTTCCAGATAAACAGGCAGCGGTAGCAACACCTGTAAGTATCTCATTTAAAAATATATAGTATATACAGCGAGTCATGAAGATACTCCAACTTGCAGGGAAAAATTTGGGGGCTGGTGGTGGGACCGGCGCTCCAGCCACCATAAAAACTTCACACAGTTCTGATGAAGCAGACAGAACTCTTTTCTGCTCTCTGCGGGAGTAGCTCTGCTGCAGCCGGCCACAGGAAGGCTGCACGCCCCCTGGGGGGGATGGGGGACAGCCCTCCAGAGCCTCATCCCCAGATGAGTCGAAACCGCCAGAGAGCCAATGGGGGTCAGGCCTGTTGGGGATCGGAGCTGGTGTGGTGCTGAGGCGTCACCCACATCGGACATCTCTGGGTCCACAGTTCTTGAGGCTGATCCTTCGATTAGCTGTGACCCACCCAGTCTCATTGAGATTGAACCAGCTGAGGGTAGGGAAGACTGCAGGGATCTGTGGTATCCTGGGTGAACTTCTCCAGCCTGCTGGTAAAGCTGTCCTCCTGGCATTGCAAGCCATCTTTGCTTCCGTTTGGCAGACAGGCGTCATCCCAACTGATTAGAAAATGGGACTTGCTTTCCCTATCTGAAAAGACCGGCAACAAGATTGTGGCAACTACAGGGGAATAACACTGCTGTCAGTGCTGGGTAAGATCCTTGCCAAGGTCAACCTCAATAGGATCTACGCTTGTATGGACTGGGTGTTGGGCAGGGTCATCGATGCTGTGATCTTTGTGGAGTCATTGGTGGCTCTCGAGAGACTGAGTCCAAGTGTCTGGGTTTGAGAGTGTCCTGAATAAAAACTAGCATCCAGACCTTCTTTGACCTCTTGGGCACAGCCATCAGCAGTGTGTCCGTCTGCGGAGAGAATGTCGACCACGTCCTGCTGGTTTGAGTACTGCTGGTTTGTCAAATGAGCAGTTGCTCAGGGAGTCCCAAATGAGGCACTTTAACTGCATTGTGAGGGCTAACTGCATCAGTTACGGCACTACGGCCATGTGACGCGTATCCCTGAAGGTGATCCGACTTGTAGGATCCTCATTGCTAAGGACTCGAGCAGCTGGCCCAGGCCAAGGGGACGCCCATGTAACACCTGGCTGTGGTAGATAGACGGCGATTTCCGGAGGGTGAGATCGGACCTCATGTCGGCATGGGGGGGGGGGTCACCAACCGGGATTCCGAGGAATTTTCTTGTGTGGTGAGTGCAACAACATGCTGTACCAGCACATGTTCCCCAACCTGACCTAAGTCCTAAAGGGGCTTGGTTTTGTGTGATTAGCATTGTAAGTCAGAGTTCAATAAAGCATATTTTATAGAGAAGTGAATTGGAAAGAAACAGGAGCGCTATGGCAGGCGGGGAATGGAGCTATACTGCAGAGTGGTGTGTGACTTAGCGGGTTAGGATGCTGTGCCTATGATCAGAAGGTTGCTGGTTTGAGTCCCAAGGTCAGTGGAATGATTTCATCATTGGGCCCCTGAACAAGGCCCTTAGCTCCCAGTTACTTCAGGGACTCTCTAACCCTGCAGTCTGAATTGTATGTTGCTCATAAGTACTCTACAAGAAAGGACAGAGCAGGTTGTACTTTCTGAGAAGGCTCAGGTCATTCAACATCTGTAAAACCATTCTTCTGATGTTTTACGAATCTGTCGTGGCGAGTGTCGTTTTTTATGCTGTGGTCTGTTGGGGCTGTAACATGAAAGCAGCAGACAGAAACAGACTGGACAAGGTCATTAAAAGGGCCGGATCTGTACTGGGCTTGGATCTAGACTCTGTTGATGTCGTGGCAAGGAGAAGGATTTTGTCCAAAACACGCTCCATCTCGAACAATCCTTCTCACCTGCTATACAGAGTTCTCTCCGTCCAGAGGAGCAATTTCGGCTAGAGACTGATTATGACCAGGTGTTCTACAGAGTGCCACAGGAGATCTTTTCTCCCAATGGCCATAAAATTATATAACTCTTCTCTGTAATGTTTTTACTACGGGACAGGAACTATGAGTAGTTCCTGTTCAATAATATTTTTATAATACTACTGTTTCTAATTCAAGTTCCAAGTGCAATATCTGGTTACAATACATTTGGGTAATATTTCTTATTTACACTGCATTTCTTTTGCATTATTATGTAATTTAATTGTGTGTTATATTTAATTTTATTATATATTACTTCTACTTGTTATTTTCTCTTTAAATTTTTTATTTTTTATATATATTATAATGTACTTTCTTCTAATCTAATTTTTCTTTCTTCGCGGTAAATTAATTAATTAGAGCAACTGTATAACCAAGACAAAGTAATTTCCCTCTGGGATTAATAAAGTTCTTTGAATTGAACTGAACTGAAGTAAATAAGTTGTTAATGGAACAGACCATCATGTGGCAGGGACATTGTGATAGTTCTGAGCCAGTTTAATTCAGCATCACATTTAACATCGGTAGAAAGGCAGGACTCGGGGGACACCCCCAGCTGTGCGTGCAGAGCGAAAGAAAATGAGAAATGTGGCTAAGACTGTCTTGCGTGTGCATGCAGGAGCACAGCACAGGTGATGCCGCTAGTGCATGCGCAGGTGGAGAGGAGGATGGCACCAAATAAACATTAATTATCGCACAACGCAATCTTTAACAAAAAAATAATACTTCAGATGCACCAATCAACAAGTTTGACATCACTGACCAAAAAGTTCATGCAGATAACATCTGAATTTCAGACACTGGAGGTATTGCTCATCTCCTCCACACATGTAAGACACATGGTTATCTCAAAATCGGAGATCAGCCGTGTTACATTCATGATTAAAAATACATATAAAAAAATCTTCAAGTGAGACACCGTCCTCTCTTGTGCAAAATCAGTTCAGCACAACTTTTAAAAGGGCAACGTGACGTAAAAGTAACGCGAGGACAAAACCATGGATTATGGGAATTAACAGGAAACGTGCTTCATTGAAACATCCCCAAAAAGGCACTTGAAGTGGACAAACGCGTTTCATTAAACCGGCCATTCTTGTTACGTTGCTTCCCGTTTGGTTAATCAGCTAACCCTTTTCCCAGAGGTCTTCTCACCCAGAACACACCGTCAATCCCTAACACCCATAGTGAAATCCTCTTAGGTAGGAACTCACTATTCCTGGACAGATGTACACGACGCATCATTGGCCCAGAAGTCCTCAGGCTTTGGGTGCCACCCCAATACAATCTATGACCCCCCCCAAATAACCACCAATTGGATCATCCTCCTCACGAGAAGAGATGCCCAATTAGGCACAGTCACTTCAGTCCAGTGGCGACATGCAGATCTGCACCAACAGGAGCTTCTCAGTTATACTTAGAGCTCCCTCAGACACTTCCTGTTCCTCCCCACCTTTTAAAGTCCTGCCTAAAGAAGAGGTGGGGGGGGGAGGTGTAGGAAACGCCTTTCTATTCACACTCGTTCAGGGTTCATGTCTCTGTTGGCCCTTCGTCGCGGGAACAGCCTCCGTTTCAGGAGAATGAGCTGGGGAGGGAAAGGGGACAAGAGCGATCAGTCAGGCGAAATAACAGCAATGAGGTACGATCCTGAGGGACAGAGGCTGCAATGGGGCTGATGTCAGTGTATGGGGGTCGGTGACACGTCGGGTATCAGGGACATTTTGTGAAGGCCCTGCTTTCAGCCTTATAAGTATGTGAGGAGGAGAGGTCTGTGCAGAAGGTCCTTTACACTGCTGAACTTCTTCAGATGTCTGGTAGAGGAATCCTGCATGAACAGACCCAGAACATCCACACTCTGGCCCACACACACACACACCTGCACTTATATCCTTGTGGGGACTGTCCATAGACCCTAATCCCAACAATGACAACCTTAACCCCTACCCAGATTTCGTCCCCACAATGTAATGCATATGACCCACATGAACGCAACACGCACACATGCACTTCTTTTTGTTCTCAGCTTAAATATAAATTAATATTTACCTGTTCTGCGAAGAAAGAAATCACAGTGAAGACGACTAGGGTAACCAGAACACAGTGCGTCCAGAACTTCAGCTTGTCTCGATACAAACGCCTGCAACACACACATGCAGAGATATAACAGCGTATCATCTTGCCGATTAGGGAAAAACATTCTACAAGCTGGGTACTGCAGTATTGGGCAAGATGTGCTTAAGATGGGCACTCATTGGCCTCTATTAGGTTCCCCTATGTAGTGCCAGGCAGGAGTCCCTTCGTTTCCAGAACCAGGGTTGCCCAGCTGTATATCTGGGGTCTTGCTGCACTCCACTGTCATATTGAGCTGTTAGTTTTGCACTTGTGGACTTGCTGTTAAGTTTCACGAGTTTGAGCTTCTTCCTCTGACCTCTCTCATTGACGAGGCGTTTTTCCCCACAATACTGGTGATGTACTGGGTGTTTTTGGCTTATTGCACTGTTCTAAGTAAACAAGACATTGTAACAGGTGTCAGCATATTTCAAAAATTGCTGAGATCTCACATCTTCGCCATTCAGCGACAGAACCCGTTGACCCTGTCTGCATTTTGTATATTTTCAGTTGTAGCCAAATGACCCTCTCTTTAGAACAGCAGGCTATTTGCGTTAAAGAACAGGTGGACCCACTAAATAAAACCCTGACGGAGGCCTAGGATGCTTTTCCACTGCACCAGGTACAGTACTCTTGGTACCATACTAAACAGATTCAATGACATTTGGATGACATGACAAGAAACAAAAATGTAATACATCAGGGCCACACAATATTGGGAAAAAAATTTAAATATCACAATGTGATTTTGTTGTAATGAGTATTGGGATATTTAGCAAAAAAATAAATTTCTCACAAACCCATCTAGAAGTGATTTAAACAGCAAGGATGAAAATGATTATGATTCTCTCGGAGATGACATAAAGAGCTCAAGCAAAATCAGTGCCGGTAAACTTTAAACTGATTTTAAAACACATACTAGATAATCTTGAAAAGGAACATTCATTAAAATTGCAATGCAAAATGAAATTGCAATTAAAATTGTTTCCTATGACAGAGTAGAAATGTTTTAGCAAAACTTAAACCCCTTGTGCTATAATGTCCGTTCCAAATTGAAAGTAAGAGAAAGCCTGATCTCAGTCTCGCTGACTAGTGATGTACAAATTGCATGTGCATAACATGTCATGTTAGTATTAAAATTGCACATCTCCCAGCCATATCATATACTACACCCATTTTTCGAATTCAGTACAAAATTCCCTGCCTCACGTTGTGATGCCATTCAGCAGCAGTAGCAGTTTTTTTGGCGGTGGAAAACCAACACCTTGAAGTTCCAAAAGTACGGTACCTGGTGCAGTGGAAAACTGCCCCTGGGGCCAGAATATCTGTGTTACGCCCATGATGGATCACTAGTAAAGAATGTGAGCCATCCAAGTTTGGCCGATTATTGTTTATATTAGTGGTTTATATTTGGGTGGGGGAGGGGGGCATTTTGCATCATTCGACAAGGCAAGTCTTAAATATCTACCTGTTAATCATGATTCACTGGTTGGTGACCACTTGTTTATATATACTGCCTGGCCAAAAAAAAGTCGCACACACTAATATTTCGTTGGACCGCATTTAGCTTTGATTATGGTGCACATTCGTCAATTCCACATGCTTATGCAACATTTCAACATTGTTTTTCATCCAGATTTGCATTAATTTCTCGCCGAGATCTTGAATCGATGATAGGTGAGTTGAACCACTCCGTAAAGCAGGGGTGGGCAATCTTATCTGCAAAGGGCCGGTGTGTATGCAGGTTTTTGGGGTAACCTTTAGGCCAGCTGTTCAAACCCAGGTGTGAGGACTCTTCAGCCAATCAGTCCTCTAATTAGTAATCTAATTAGGGAGTTGCAGCGAAAACCCGCATACACACCGGCCCTTTGCGGATAGGTTTGCCCACCCCTGTCGTAAAGTCTTCTTCAGCACATCACCAATTAACCTATTGTGGGAGGAAACCGGAGTCCCCGGCAGAAACCACACAGAAGAGTCCTACAACCGGCCCGGGGACCGAACCCAGGACCTTCTTGCTGTGAGACAGCAGCGCTAACCACTGCGCCCTCCCTGAACCACTCTTTGACAATTCGAGCCCGATGAATCTTGGCATTATCGTCCTGGAATATGCCCATGCTGTTAGGAAAGAAAAAATCCATTGATGGATAACCTGGCCATTCAGGAGATTCAGTTGCTCAGCTGACTTCACTTTACTGCATAATGATCCAGTCATTGGCTCTTAAGTACTGGCTGATTTAAATTCACATGGTGACAGTGTAGTAACCAATAAAATGGCCACTAAGTATATATGCTGTTTGGCAGAGAGGCTGTCTGTACCTTTCCTCCATGACGGGGCCACATGAGCTTATTCAGCTTATATTTAAACAGGGTTGGTGTTCTTCCCTCCCCGAGTGACTTTCATCATCTCACTGGACAGCTCCATGCATTCCTGACAGCTCTTTAGCAAAACAGCTCACCACCCCCTCCGTCCCACCAGTGGTTCAACCCCATCTCAGTCAATCCTCTATTGACAGGACTAGACCACTGTTTATGCACTTATAGCAGAGGAGGGCATTACTTTAAACGCCTTATGAAACAAAAGGAGGGGATCTGAAGATGTTCAGACACATGTACGCCCAGCAGTGCACTGCACAGTACAATGCAGACGGATCACTGAAGACATGCAGGGGACAGTGTCAGAAACACTGCGGGACGTCAACCGCCAACTGCTGACACACTGTCATTCATGCAGAGAGACAGAGAGACAGACAGACACACAGACACACACACACACACACAGCCGCATTCCATACAGAGCCCAGTGAGCGGACGTGTGTCTGGGGACCGCCTGTCCATCGCCACTCAAGTAGGACCCACATCAAGGGGCTTTTCCATGAAATGGAAGCCAGGGTGTTCATCCATGATGCAAATCAATGGCATCACCTTTCCAAAAATGGGTACTGCTTTCAAAATAGCCTCGACTATCCCTTATAAAGACTTAATGTCATTTATCCACCATTCCAATCAGGTTAGACTTACTAAACCACTAACCAGGATGGCCGCTTAACCTCTTGGTTTAAAAACTAAAGTTCTATTAATAAAACAGGTAAATTCAGCAGTAAATGAGTGATCTAAATTTCCTTCTGAAAAATCTATCCTTTAAAACACCCACTGACAGAATACATCACTTATGCTATGCAGTGAGCAATCATGTAAACACACAAATGACGGGTTAGTGACAGAATGGTAATTTATAATTTAGACTAACAGTTCTGACTGGCTAACAGCGCTTTCTGCATTCACTGAAGGCTTTCCTTTCCCTGGGTCTTACCATTCCTGGAGCTCCCCCATGTGGAGGAATCGGTTACGGTACTCTCTTGGCAACTCAAACTGAGAAGGAATGGGAAACATGGACTCGTAGAAGTCCCGAAGCACTGCCTTCACCGTAGGGGCGTCCTTATGGCTGTGGTCGATGTTATCATTGAGACAGATGAACTTCCTGTAGGGTACACAAGTACCACCGTCATACATGTAGGGCCTACGGAAGAAGGTTTTGAAATGGTTCATGGCATTGGACACCCGGACCTGCAAGAAAAGCTCCCTTGCCGACTCACCTGGGGTTCTTCCTAATGTCATCCAGCTGGCCCACCACATGGGAAACGTTGGTGCGAACCATCTTGAAGGCAATCTCCTCCTCCCCCATGATCTCAAACCTGCTCGAGGAAGTGAAAGTGATGAAGGCAGTGAATTATAGAGCTATGAGGTCTCTCTAAAAGACATTCACCCGCCATGAACTTCAGAAATAGCACATTCAACCAGGGACGGCAATATTGCCTTCGGACCACATTTTCAAAGCAGGCATCAAACGAAAAATTATGTAAATGATTTGAATAGTTGAACTACTCCATCCATCGAGCCATCATTAATTCCATCCATCCAACTACTTATCTTGGTCAAGGTTACAAGCATAGTTGAACTACTTACTTGTATTTGTTTTGGTCTTTGAAGGCCTTGTGAATGCGGTCAATGATGGGCTTGCAGTTGACAACCAGACCTTTAGTGACTGGAGGCTGTGGATATACATTTCACTCTCAGGCACTCGTTACATTTCCAACTTGACCTAGATCTATCCAAGACTGCCCTGATAGATCTGCAATCAAACTTTATTTAGATGTATAATACAGCATTCATACAGTACGTTGCACTATGTAGCAGAAAGAGCGCACGTCCGAGGGTCTGGGTCTTAGTTCCTCATGACATACTCACCATGCTGGGGTCATAGTAGGCCTCCTGGGTGGGACTAATCATGTGGAGCTGTGTGACGTTGGTAGGCAGGATCTTGGAGCAGTTAATTAGCATTTGCTCCAGACCTGTTAGATCCTGTCCAAAACAGAAGACAGTGATACATCTGAATGCTTCAGTCTGCTTATTACGTACACAAACAGCAGGACAGACCAGCTATCATGTGTACAGAACAGTGGCCGCATCAACTCTGTGGCCAAAGTGCTGAATTAAAAGCAGGAAAGTCTTCTCTACCCAATCAGTGTTTCTGAACCTGGGGCTGGACCCTACCTGGAGGCTGAGCGGCAGGTCATGGATCCGCGTGGCAAGTGTGCGTATCTCTCGGTCAGAGAGGACGCCAGAGTGGTCGGTGTCGATCTCGTCAAAGACCTGGGAGACACTGCGCTGCTGGAGAGCGCTCATCAGGTAGTAGAAGTAGGAGAAGGCGAATTGCATGTCCTCCGAGTGACGCACTTTGTGAGATGAGGTCTTGTCAAACTCACTAGGGAACCTAAAAGTAAGACAGATGCCAGCTTACTATTCAAGGGCGGCACTTGTGAGTTATATTTAGCATATTTTAATGACCATTGCTGGTACAATTTACAGGTACGTTGCTGGTACTGGTACAATTTACAGGTAGTGCCCTTGATGGTACTCAGGGGCCTCTAAGCGGTGCTGCTTACATGTCCTGCAGTCCCTGCATGATGACACGGTCAATCATGTGAGGCATATGAGCCGGCACTTTGCGTGACGTGAAGCCGAACTGGCCATTGAGCAGCCGGTTGACGTAGCGCAATGAGTCGGCGAAGGTGTCCTGCAGCCTCCGGCCAGCGGCGGTGCCATCAGCACGGTAAGCCAGCTTCTGCTCCAGCTGCCTCTCTAGCTCCTCGCCTTCCTGCAGAAGGTTAACAGGACACCAAGGACACTGACTTACACCGTAAAACATGTAGGATGGCAGAAATCCTCTGAAGGTATGCTTCCCACCTCCAGCAGGTCATGGAAGTACTTCCTCCTCTCCCAGGGAAGGAAACCTCGATCTGCTGACGTGTAGTGCTGCAGCTTCCTGCTGAGGAACGCCGCTCCACCCTCTACCTTCTGTTCTGGACCTGCCCTTTTGGCTGCATTGGCCCCCCTTTCAGAATCTGCAACTTTGGACCCAATCCCCACTAATGCAATAAGGTGTTTGGCTGCTGATGGTCCCCTGGTGGTGATAGGAACTGGAGACATTGGGAGCTGGGCCACTGCGCCTTCAGGGACTTGCTCATCCACACGTAGCTTGATGGAAGAAGGGTGGGATTGGACCAGTCTCTGTTTCTCCTTGCCACCCACCAAGGGTGCTACGGCCTTGTCCTTCTTAATATCTTCTGCTCCAAGATCTTTGTATGGCTTGTGGGAATCCAAGTTCTCTGGAGGCTTAAGTTCCACCACCCTTTCAGTAGAGAGCCCTCGCTTTTGCTGCATAGCCTGCCCTGCTGATGTCTGGTATAGTTCCAGAAGTTTTGCTTTGGTGAAGTTGAAGCCTTTAAGAGTGATGTCTCCAATCAGGAGTCTGTTTTCCAACTCCAGCAATTCACTGCGAATGTTGGCTGGGAGCCCGGATTCGTTCAGCTGAGGCACTTTCACCACAATCCCAGGCATCTCCCCTGGGGGTCTTTTATGGACTCTGGGACCTCTCTTCTCCAAGGGAACATTTTCAAAAGGTACCTCAAGCTCTTGGGCTATTTCAGTGGGTTTGGCCTCCTTGTCAACATCCTTCTGGCCATCATCAGATGTGTTGGACCGGACGCCTTCGCGAGTGTCAACATCCACAGTGAAGACCATGGAGAACTCATGGTCATCTGCCCCCTGGAAGGTCAGGTTGTACTGAATCTGCGTAGCGTTCATGCCAGCATGCAGCAGCAGGTGGACCGTTTGCCACTTGTTGGCTATAGAAGTGTGCCGCACCACAGGGTTGTCACTGACTTGGGCCTCGGATACCCTACGACCGATAAGGGCAAAGCTGAAGTAGGGCTTGGTCTCCCCTTGAGGGAGGGAGTACCGGGTTTGGTTCTTCCGTAGGGTCACTTTGTATAGTTGGCCAAAGTGTTCTGTTTCAGGGAGAGCAGATATCAATCGCAATCAAATTTATATAGAAAAAGAGACATTTTGAACATATATAAACAAAATTCTTTGAAGCACACCTTGATACAATTAGATAACGCAAATTCCTGAGATACTAACCTTGGCCACAGTCACCCACATCAAATCCACAAGACAGCACATTGCAGGCCTGGTCACAGAACTTGTCTGCCAGCCAGGAATTGGCACAACCCTGGTTGCAGTATGACACACCAGTTATGCCCCCCAAACCTCCAAACTGCCAGGGCTGCCCAACTCCCGCACCAGGGACTCCACCCCCGGCACCGGCTCCAAACCGATTGCCTCCCAGAGCACCTGCAGCAAGATGGGCAACCTTCATTACCAACTGACACAGAGTTCCACACAGGAATGACTGGGGCCATAACAACTGTTACTCCAAGGGATTATGGGTAAAAACATACTTTACTTCAGCATTTGCCAATCTCTGACCTTGGGGACTTCTGTTTTTATGCTCTAGCTGAAGACCATGAAATAGCTAAAACACAGATCTATGCTAATGATAGATAGATAGATGCTTTATTGTCATTGTAAGTACAATGAGATTTGGTTTGGAACACGTCAGCAGATGCACAGTATATTTACAAAGAAATAGATTCTGAGGCATAAATAGAACAGGAGAGTATACATACACACACACACACACACACACACACACACAATAAGTTGCTGGTAAGTAAGTACACAGAGATAGAGTGGACTAAATGTACATAAATATGGACTTTGCACATGTGGAGTATTGCTTCAGAATGTTTGAGATCAGTGCTGAGAGTTCAGAAGTGTGATGGATGTGGGGTAAAAACTACATGGGAAGCTCCAGGCTGCTGCATCCGTGCATGCCACCATCTTGATGATGAAAACGAAGCTAATGAATAATAATGAGGCTAAACACTGATTTGGAACGTTACACAAGATACACAGATTCTAACACTCTCTACATCAGAGTTTGGGAATTCATGCATGCAAGTCAAAGATCAGAGTCTTCGCTCACCAAGACAGTCCCCCCCATCCCAGTCACAGGCGCTATTATTGCAGGCTTTGTCACAGTAGCCGTCCTTTATCCAGGAACCAGGACACCCCTCCGCGCAATTTGGTACAGGCCATGTCAGGTACACCTTAAGATAAGTAATGCGTAAGAACACATCAAAAATGGCTCTGACCTTGAGGAAACCAACACATTGAAGTACAGTACTTTTAGTACTTTCTTGAAGTACCAAAAGTACCATATCTGGTGTGGTGGAAAAACACCCTAAGTAATCTCATAAGGGCACACCTGGAAAAAATGTGACCATGGTGTCCAATCAGAGAGCCAGGGCTCCTTCCCTGTACTCACCTTCTGTCCCTTGGAGTGGCTGTAGAAGTCATCCGGCCAGACATCTTTCCCGAACATGACATCATCATTAAGGTAGATGAACTTGCGTGAAAGGCCAGGGATACGGTGAATGTGAGTCTCGATGGCAGGTGAGCTGAAGGTGGGCAGGTGTGAGACGTTCTGGAAGATCTCCTAAGAAGGGCAATGGGGATTGAGCGACTTAAATATCCACAAATCTATGTTGACTTGTTCCTCACAAGAAACACACCATCACTGTGTAAAAAGATCCTATATGGATTTTAAAATCCAACCAATTTATCAAACTTAAATTTCCACTGCCGTTAAAAATAATAGGGCTTGAAGTTGCGACACTCACCTGGTGTGTGACAATCGTGACCCTTGGGTTGTCCAGGTTGAGCCAGGATGGGATCTGACCGTTTGTGACAATGAAGATGTGACGCACCCAGGGGGCGTGTGTCTCCACTGAGCGCAGCGAGTAGCGCAGCTCCTCATTGTCTTCGAAGCGGCTCGCTGAGATGTCCTCGTCCTGCTTGGGCTGTTGAGCCCAGCAGAGGTAGGGAGCAGGGGGAGGGAGAAAGACAGGCCAAAAGTCAGCACCTCTGAAGCCATTCTGCTTAGTGTTTGAAAAAATTAAATGATCACAAAGTTCACGATAAGGGATCGGAGAACACTCTTTGTCCAATGGGTACAGTCGATGCTACCAGCCTGTCAGGGAGCCAGCCAATCAGGTGGCTGCTGTGAGAACAAGCAGGAAGTGAGCAACACCTGGCTGATGGCACTCAGATCCCAGAAGAGGTAGGCAGGGCTGACGGTCAGCTCCTTGCCATCCAGAGTCAGGTTCTTCCGGACCTGCTGAGTCAGCTCGCCAAAATCCTGAGGGTCATTCAGATGGAGAAGTGCGATGCTGGCCTCTGAGTAAAGCTGTAGCTGCAGAATGAAACAAATACACTGTCACGACCCAGGGAGTGAGACAGCTATACGTTTCCCAAGCCGCTCCGGCTCCCTCCATGAGCAGAAGCCCACAGTGTCAAACCCACCCCAACAACAAGCACGTAACACCCAATAAACCCGAAACGTCTCTCACAACTACATCTGATGCAACAGCTGCTGCTCTCCAGAGACCCTGATTTAATACATGATGAACCAACAGGGCATAAGCAGCTGTACAGAACTATATAGCGTTGCCTTCATAATACAGCACGGCCACTGACATAAGATTCAAATGACGTTGAAAATGAGCCAACTAAGCCCAACCAAATCCCAGAAGTCCATAGCGATGTAAGGACACGGTGACCGGACGATGACACGACAGAGCCCTCTAGTGGCAGTTCAGCTACACTGCGGCTTATAGACTAACACCTGCCCCCTGTTGCTTTTCAAGAGATAAATCAATCCAAGCTGAAAATGGTGCTCCTATAACAAGAGGCCTATTGTCTCACTCTTCATCCCCCCAAACAATTTGAAATGAACCTGCTCTTTCCTGCACCCTGGGCTGCCTCGCATACTCTCCGTTACCCATGGTGGAGAAATGTGGGTTGTTCCCAGAAAGTGGCATGATGTCATTCCTCTCAGGAGAATGGCCCTTGCATGGAGACACACGGAGAAGCTTTTCCAGGAGCTTTGGGGCTTGACAGGAGGCATCTGAGACACGATGAGAGACTGTTTACCCCTATGCCTTCACCTCCACATACTTTTCGCCCACTGACCCCACAACTGACATAAACAACACCTAAAATTACAGCCCCCAATTTCCCCCTCTTCAATCAACCATGATTATAGAATTATACTGCCGAGATATAACAGCGTCAAACAGCTGAGCAGCTGCTGTGATCCGGGACTGACGGGAACAGTTGCTCTTGGGCTCCAAACTCAGATCCGCCAACAAAACATTTTACCCTAATATCCAACATTATTACGTCTCGGTCTCTGGTCTCCCAGGAGAGACGGAGAATAACCAACCATTCGCTGTCATCACCGGACCGTGATATAAAAAAGGCAGGACTATCATAAAGGAGATCGGCATTCCCTTTGTTTAATGTTTCATGTTTTAGGTTTCTCAAGGATATATTTATTGAAACAGAAAAATTAGCTTCTGTGTCACCAGTAAAGCTCATGCAGAATTTCATTGGGTGAAAAATTTTTTTTTAAATCAGCCCTATATACTACATGATGAATGTGATGTTTGTTGATGTATCATTCAGCCGAGTCAGTCATACTAGATCATTCATCTATGTGCGATTATAAACTTTATAATTTATGTTCTCCTGGTTTCCCTGGACGGGGCTGCACCAGCACCCCAAACTCGAGGCTGAGCCAAAGTCTCACCCATCCCTGGCAGATACCGCGGCCTCCCTCCAGATCAGATTCTCATTGTTATTTCAGGCATGGCAGGTCACCATTTCCATCACCGCAGTCACCTAGCCAACAGAGCAGGGAAGGGGGCCATCGGGCTTGTTAACACCCCCAGAAACACAGGCCTTTCTGCAGCCAATCAAAGGTGCCGGAAGGGGTCAGAAGGTGGTTCTGGTATGATGTCACCGATGATGAGGTAATGCCTACAACTGATCCACCTGGACCAGAAACAAGCTGCTTCCCTCAGAAGCTGCGGATATATTTAGGGCCACCCATGTGACACGGAGGGGCGCACAATGCCTCACACCCACACCTCCTCTCTCGGAACATCTGGCGATATTCTCCAGGCACGTGGATGACAGGGGCAAAGCTGAGAACTTTCATCACCGACGTATTCGACTGTAACTATAGACACTGCCCTTCAACCCTAAAACCAGACCTTCTCTCGTGTTACATTACTCCCATACTAATTGGAGACCACCCCCTACCTCACAGTCCAAAATCCAGAAATGCTAACATCTTACCTACAGGGGTATCAGATCTCTGGGTCATTACCCAGTTCCCCTCTAACCTCTCGCCCCCTTCAGGCTGCACTACCTCCACAGGCTTTCCCGCACCTCCTCACATGACCATCAAAGGCCAGGAAATGTCACCGCAGATCCCTGACCCCACACCAAAATATCAACGCATCCGCGAGTTGCTTAGCAGATACTTCTATACAGAGATACTTGGCTGGTCCCCGTCTAAGCTTCTGGATTGAAGAAGCCAGGCTAATCGCCTTAGTCCAAGGGAGAGCTGCAGCCACCGCTGACCGTCGCACCCGGCTGAAGAGGCGCGGTCCCCGTTTGATTGGCGGTAAGCTAGCAGGACACTGCTGAGAGAGCAAGGGGACAGGTGACGAAAATACCTCGTTGACCTTCTCCTCAACTGGTCTGGCGTGCCGCCAATTCAAACAGTTGTTCTATAGTTAACCCCCTGTCCCCCTGCTCAGGTTTCACCTTAATACCCCTGCTGTTATCACATGACAGCTCAGAAGATGGAATCATGGGGACAAAGCACCCCCACCCCGCACCCTCCGTTTTCAAGGGTGGGGACAACATTTCTATTACGGGGTGCTGGCAGTTTAGCAGCAGACTTTAAGGTCACCTAATGGATTAAATTATTAATTATTATAGGAACCCAAGGTATATATGGCAAATGAGCACAAGATATCAGCTCCTGACATAAACACCGCATGCATCGAATTTTGGAAACCATTTCTAAATAGATCTATAATGTACACTTCATTAGCTCTAATGTGAGAAAATCTATCCACCATTTTGTGAAAAAAAAGATGTCAGAGGTGTCCATTTAAGGCAAGGAAACCGCAACCTTTTTGGGTCACACCAGGGTCAGCATCATGGGGGGGGGGGGGGGGGGTTGTTATTTGTGAGCCATGCCACCCCCAAATGAGCCAATGTGCCTCCCCACAAACTCCACCCACGTAGGACACCGTCTTTGCACTTATGTCTAGGTGACTCCTTGACAGTATTTATGATTAAAATGCGCTATTTGGTTCACTTGTATATCTCTTTGTAAATATGTAAATGTACATGTAAATATGTAAATGTCTACATGTAAATATGTAAATGTATATGTAAATAGAGAGAAAGTCAGACAGGGGATTAAATCAGCATCTATCCTGTAGGGCTCCATACCGAATGATGTAAATGCATGTGGAATCTTATTCCCTCAAATGGACACGGAACAGGAACCAGATATAAACCTGAGAGTGGACAGTGGAGGGCTAGAGAAAACCAGAGCTTTGTTTCCATTGCAGATGCGGTGCTTAAAATCCCACGTTACAAACATTCCGCAACAATCAATGTCTCTGAAGTTGTGATAGGAAGGAAAGTGTTACATTGTATTTGCTGAGCCTATAAAACAGTGATACCTTGCAAATCTTTTAATAACAAGCCAATTACTCACAATCTGCCGCTTAGAAAGGATCGGCATTTCAGCTAAATCTGGAAGCTTTTAAAACAACCACACTGGTCACATGTCAAGTTATCTTCACCACAGAAGGTACTGTAAGCAACAGCATAATTACGGAGTGACAGAGAGCCCAATTACTCAGTGCACTGTGAGATTTAGTCCAAACCAAACATACTCACACTGGTTTTCCGGGGAAACAATACTACCCCCTTGTGGTAGAAATAAGATTAACACAAAGTACAACCTTACTCCTCTGAAACAGATAAATGTTATATATTAATCATATTTTTATTGATTAAAGCAAAGGCTTGAACCAGTAATCTTACATCAGGTTGCCAGGCTGAATAGTGATTTTCCCAGGGTGCCCAGTTCACAAAATTTATGCGCCTCTTTATTGTCAATGTTACTCCTAACGTGTTGCTACTGAAGGTAGTGACACGTCACACCTTACTTATATGGAACTATCAGGACAGGGGTTTAAACATTTTACAATTACATTTAATTCACTCATCCAAAGTAAAGTATACAGTTAAAATGACTGTAAAAATAATTATACTGAAGAATTAACTGTTTAAAGGGTCAAGATGCAAAAACTCACAGTGACCCTCAACATATTCCTCAGACTAACAAGACTAACAAGACTAACCAGACTAACCAGACTAACCAGACTAACAGACCAGCATGCACCCTGCTTGGGGTCAATGGACAAACATTCAAAGTGCAGGACAAGTGTAATTACCCTTGGCTCTACTGCCCTCTGCTGGACTCCACCATGTGTTACAATGAAGTCAGTGGATTTTAGCTGTCCTGTGTCCACTGTGAGTGTCTCTTGCAGGTAACAATGTGCAATGATGTTGTATCTTACTTGCTCCTATCAAATAATACTTGAATACCTACCAGAAAGTGTAAAAACACAGCATCTACAGACTGATATGAGAAATACTGGACTTCACTTCCCATCAGCCACAGCTGCATTTTCTAAAATCTACCCAGCTGGGATCCAGTGGTATGTGACAGAACATCAAAATGCTGTGGCCATTCTTTTATGAGACATATGGTGAATTCCATGGCCAGGGAGTCCTCACCTGTTTGATCTTGCCAGTGATGGTGGGTGGCAGCTTCACCCTGAGCTGCTCAGCCTCTTTGAAGGATGATGGGAAGCCGCTCAGGTAGGCCAGTGACTGCATCCGTACCACTCCAGGGGCCTCCTTATCTGTAGTCTTTCAAGGGACAGGAAAACTCAATGTCCCAGCAGTCATAGGGAAGATGTAGTGTATTCTGGGTAAGAACACATCTTTTAAAGAACACTGATTAACACTGGCTGCAACTCATTTTCTGTTCCCATACAAAAGGGAATATTGAAGGTGCCTCAAAAATGTCTCCCTGTGTGGGGGGGATGGTTAGGGGGGGATCCAGGGGGGGTTACATACCCCAACTCACCAAGTAACCGCGGCTGATGGAATGCTTAAGAACATCGTTCGACACCTCAGAATGAGCTTCATTAGCTGTGTTAAGCCACGGGAGAGAGAGCAACAGGGCAGAGAAGTGAGGGCCGGTGCTGAGGCGAATCCTTACACTGTACGTGCATGTAGAAGATGAAAAGACACTTGAAGAGAACAGATATAACAAAAACATGCATGTGCAAAAGAGCTCCAATTCTGCACAGCTCTCCTTGCCCCCCTATCACAGGGGTGGGCAATCTTATCCGCAAAGGGCCGCTGTGTATGTGGGTTTTCGCTGCAACTCCCTACTTAGATTACTAATTAGAGGACTGATTGGCTGAAGAGTCCCTCACATCTGGGTTTGAACAGCTGACCTAAAGGTTATCCCAAAAACCTGCAAACACACCGCACCTTTACGGACTAGATTGCCCACCCCTGCCCTAACATGAGGACAGTATGTGCCCAGAAGGTCATGTGTTCAAATCCCATTGCTGGCAGAGTGATTTCACCACTTGACCCTTAAGTTCCTTATACCCAGCTGTACATTGCTTTGGATAAGGGCTGATAAAAAAACACACCCTCAGCACCAATGGTATTAGCTGAGTTAGGGAGAACTAAGGGAACCCAGGATACCGATTCACACTGGCCCAGTGGGGTCGGGAACATGCAGTGCGGTATTGCTGTACCTTCAGCCTGGGAGTGGAATATGAGGACAGACACGCTGGTGGAGGGGTTGCGGGGCTTGGCCACCTGCAGCAGATGCTTGGCCGCCGAGAAGGCAGCGGAGAGTGAGGGCAGCTCCTTCAGCGTCACGTTGGCTGGAAGGCCGGGATCCAGCACCAGCACGGGTGCCGTGATGCAGTGGGACAGGAGACACTCCGGTTTCTCGCTGCACCGTGGACACGATACCATTGCGACGGCGTCCCAGCACATGGCAGCACCTCAATCGCAACACCATCGCGACGAAGAATCATCTACAGGCTGGACTACCGGGGGGTCATTGTGTCGCGATCACCTTACAATGCTAGCGCATTAACAATGTCTATTACAGCTAAAACACTGGCATGACCACAGAGGGGAAGCCATCATGAGAGGCAGCCATCGACTCGCCCCTCTCTGACAGAATTTTGCCCCTACAGCTCACCTTTTCTTTGGCACTTCAGTCACATCACTGACATTCTTCCCAAGCTGTTCCCTGTGGCAAAAAAGCAGGTTTCATTAAGAAGGATAGTATTAACTCATTTCTTTGGTTTAGGAGACCTATTAATCTTAATGTTACTATATTTTCACCTGCTTATACAGGCAAATTCCCTGTAACAAGGAGCCCCATTAATGAAATATTGTCAGTTTGCAGTGTCTGGTCTCCTGGGCAATGCAGTGCAAACCGTGAGCCCCCCAGGTAAGAGCACTGCACTGCTCTTATGGCAAACCACACCTAACCACTGAGAGTCACCGTCAGGGAGCACCACCATAGCTGAGCCAGGTTATGGGTAACGAGTCACGAGTTCTGGCTACCTGTAAATAATATACTCCAACATATTCCCGTTAATTCCCATGGAAAGTTTCCCATGTAAAACTGTGAAACTTCCCAGAATTTTGCAACCCAAAGGTCACCAGTCTCGATCCCAGTCTCAGAAGAAGAGCCGCATTGCTGTTGGGCCATTAAGCATGGCCCTTAACTGAAACAATGCTCCAGGGATACCGGATAACTGGGCAGACCCTATGCTCCAGCCCCCAAGCTTCACTCTAAGCAGCATGTGCGTGTGCGTCTTGGAAAAGGTTAGCAATATGCAAAGAAGCAGCATTCCAGCGTAGCTGTGCAAATAAAGCATCATTCACAATGCGTGGACCATCGTGCACAACAGTGAGTTTATATTTACAGGTAACTTATTTATCTGATGCTTTTATTCAAAGCAACTTACAGCAGAGGGAGGGCTTACAGTTTATGTGCGCTCCCTGGGATTCAAACCCATGACCTTTGCATTGTTAGCACAATGCTCTACTTGTTGAGCAGCAGGAGTTTATGTAATGTCAGCATTCAGGCAATTCCACGTGAAGCACCTGAGGGCCTTCTGCTCTGCCTGCAGCTTCTCCCTCTCCGCGTGGAGCTCCTTCAGCAGTGCCGCGTCGGTACCGTTCACCCAGGTGTACACCACATCGATGGGCATGGGGAGGCACAGCCTGGGGAGCCAAATGAGAGACAGACTCCCTGCAGCAACCAGCAACAGATAGCAGTAATACACAGCATCCCAACGAAGCCTGGATCAAAACGCAAGACTCCGACCGCTCGGCTTAAAAGCTATGGGTCAGGAACTCACCGTGTCTGGAAGGACTTCCCAGCCACGTTGTCTCTATAGGAATCAAACAAGACGTGATACTGATCTCGGCTCCATTCGATCACGACCTGTCAGGCCGAGACACTGACAATTAGCCACTGACCACTGAGACCACGGAAAACATATCTAAAGGCACAGCCCGGACTGAAGCTCGAGTCAAGATCTGAGATACAACATTTACTCAAGATTCACGATTTACACATAACCAGGATGGTGGTATTTCCCTTTGGCCAAGCAGAAAGCAAAGACAAAAGATTTTGTAAAGTTCGGGGGGTACAATACGTGCTGCAGGAGTAACTATAATAATGAATATAATAAATACCGTAAAGTGCCAGGAAGTACAACATTGAGAATTTATATCGTGCAGTACTGTCTGCGGGAAAGTATTTAGTAAAAGCATGCAATAACATCAATTTCTTAATTTATTTATTTGGCTGCAAGTTTGTTAACATGCATACAGTCTCTTTTAATTGCACATGTCTGCCTGTTCTTGCAGTTGGCCATATTACTAAAGAAATTTAATCTAAGCATCTCTCTAGGGTACAAACAGTCCTGTTGTCACCTTGTTGGCAATACTTGCGCGAAGCTTTCTTTAACGTGCAGTCACTATATGCATCTTTCTTTCTAGATCTTCATGTATTAAGCAAGCTGTTGCGATCGATAGAATGCTAACACTAACTCAGTTAGTGTGTCACTCAGTCATCTGGGTAAAAAAGGGGAACTGCAGAGTTAGCCAAAACAACTAAATGCTGAGAAATGCTATACAACGCTATAAGTTACTACCGTGGTCCCACACACACACATATATATCTCGTTTTACTCACCTCCCCAAACTGAAAGGCGGAAACGATCATGAGGACAATTCCTCCAAAGCAAAGATACAGCCCGTATCGGTGAGACAGACATGTGTATGTCTGCCTCTGCAGCAGTTTCAGGACGGAATTGATGATAACCATGGCTGTCATCCATTCAGTAACACCGCGGACCCATAATGAACGTTCACAAACAATATACTCATACAGTACTTTAATAGTGCTATTGTAACATTACTACCGAGTGTCCTCAACGCCTGGCCATTTCGGAGCTGTCATAACGAAAGCCTGTGAATCACCCTTCCTCACCGTGTCACCTGGGTGACAGTATCCGCGCAATACTTTCTGTTTATCGCCTTCTAGCGGCCGGAGGCCAAACTACCGTTTAGAATGAATTGGTACTGAGGAACAAGAGCACAAAACAAAGGAACAACATCCTAATATGATAAAAGATATATATATAAAAGAAATAACACCAAAATATTTTTGTTTTTTCCACCCTGTCACAATGTCAGCGTGGAATAAATGTAAAACGGCTTTCTGTGAATTAAAGTGATTCATTTATAAAGGAAAATTTTGTCTTCCCATTATTCTAGGACGGTATCTATTCTTTTAATACCGTCAAACCTCCTAGACATTTCACCGCGGCATATAGTATATGACGGTACTTAATAATAATATTTTAAAAAATCATGTAGACTCCGGAATCAGAGAGAGCCTAAAGGGGCACATCACCGTGGAAGCTGAGGACTAGGGAAACGAGGTGGGGGGGAGCGACAGCATGAACCTGCGGCCGCATGCGCACTAGGTTTCACGCATGCCACACATGCTCCAATAGTCTGGCATTTACGGTGTTTTGTGAATTTATCCACGGTATGTGCGTTATTATTTTTTATACTTTTTAACTTAAGTAAGGCTCCAAACTAATGCTGCGCACAACAATGCATCGCCTACATGCAGCATCCCCGTATCAACTAAATTGAAAGAGGAGCGTCTTAATTTTTGACGGTATTAAAAATACCACTATCGTGATTGCTAAATACCAGAGTATACCGTCATATCGCCCAAGGCTATTTGCCATTATCGGGGGAGTTTTGGCAGCGAGATGCACGTAATGTATTTTGCGCTATCGTCTTGTCTCCTTGAATCTTTGAAACATTCCGAGGGCAAATGGAACGCACCATTAAACCAATCCTTATATATCCCATCCTTCCAGAACAGTAAGTGTTGCCCATGCAAACTAGGCTATAACCTGTAGCAACCGCTACGAAATTATCTTTCAAAGATTCAAAGTTTGGGCTCCCATATGAGCCTCGGGGGCTGCTTGGGTCAGTCATGCACGTTTATGATTATCTCTGTTCAAGGTTGTTCCAGCTTAACATGTGTTATGCCGAAAAAGGCATCCCTGCCGTAGAATGCATGCCTGTCTCTAAATGACCGATTGGTCGCTGATCTGAAACGAGTTGAGCTACTGTACTTTGAACCTCTAAAACCCTAACCCCCAAAAAACCCTTAAAAGCTCAACTCGTCGGAACACCGGCATGCATTCTAAGGCAGGGATGCCTTTTTCGGCATAACACCGGAAAGAGCTGTGTTACTATTCCGGAGTCCCTGAAGTCGAATAAAATAAAAGCGTTTTTGCCTTATTTAAGTGGTATCTTAGCTGCGTTTTTTGTCCTTCCATCCAGACCTGTTGCTACGGTATTAATAGATGTGCCAAACCGCATGTGACGCCTGCAGCGGAAGTAATGAGGGCGAAACCTTCTTAAGAAAAAATAAAAAAGCAGAATACACCCATCAGCAAAAGAACCGTATAATAACAACCCACCACATGATGGGGCAAATACATATGACAATGAATATTACTTCGAAACAGACTAAACAGCTTTGGAAAAATAAGAACCCACTGTATATGTTTTTAAAATCTGCATCTAAAAATCCTGGTTTAATATCCTGGCTGTATAGGCATAAGGATACACTGAGCGGCTGGTTGCTTCGAGGCTCGAAATTAGTAAGACATTAGTAAAACAAGAACTGGCAATAACCAAAAGCCAGCCAGGTAGAGGGCAGAAGTAAGTTTCTAATGTCAGAGATGATTGTCAACTTATCCGGCAGTGTCTCATATAAATAAGTAAATAAGTAATAGGAAACATTAAGTGGTATGAGGTGATAGGAAGAAATGTGCGAAGACATAAAGCAAGTTTCTTAATTCTTTCCGCAGCTGTATATTTCAGCAAAAGCGCAACGTTGATAACTAGGATTTGTTAGATTTATTGACTGATTACATTTCAGAGGCTGTTGGGAGTCCGGGCTATAAGGAAGAGAGATTTGCGGTTGCATCGTCATTTAAGCCATTAAAAGCGCCCCTCTTTCATACCAGCCCACGTGACACCTGGGTCGGAACTTTTTCCTCTTCTAAAGTTTTGTTCTGTAAGCGTCACTGAATTCGTTTGAAAGGACAGAAACAGTTACCATATGAGACGCTTCTTCACTGTCACTTGACTGCCGGTGCACTTTGAAGGCGTGATGCTTTGGTTCATGGAGGGAATATGCTTTTTACCAGTTTTTATGGTGATATGGTCCTCCTGTACATTCATGATTTCGTATATTGTTGCACTCTTAAGACATAATGTTGACATTATTTTCCCATATATAAGGTGAGTGCTTTTGCGAACCTTTTAAAGGGCTGCAATTATCATTTTATTCGCGATCGTTAACAATAGTGGAAGTTTATTTGAGATCGATCCGTAACGGCTCTTTGTCGAGAGGGTGGATTATAATGAGTTAACTTTAAAGTAAATTAAACTCTCATTGATATGTATTAATTGTCACATATTTATCTGTTATTTAAATGTCTTCATATGCGCACTTTTGAACTGTGGAGATTCCGGGCTGTCTGAGAAAAGAAAATAAATCAGTTTCGTTTTCACCCGAAAGAGCACAGGCTTGCTGCTGCTGGTATATGTGCGTAACTGAAGTTACATCTGTTTTTTATTTACTCATGTTACCATTGTTTTTCAAGATTCATGACTGTGCTTTGTATTGAATTCATATTATATATTTTTATCATTTGGATTAAATATCGTGTATAACGTAACCCGCCTAATGTCAGCTGTATCATACAACATTTTTTCGATACTTGCGAACTCAGTGGCCTAATATACTACCAGTGGGTAGTAGGTGTAGCGGTAAATATTATGTTGCATACAAGACTATAGATCTGCTTTAATTAACCCTGAGCATTAAACGGAAATTAAATGGTCCCTGTGCTACCACCCAGGAAAACATTCCCTGCGACTAAGTTGTTCTTCTTCATATATGTTTGCTAAATGAATAACTTGTTAAGTCATTTGTTAATATATATGTGATGAAGTCTTTCGGGACAGCGCATAACTGCGAAGAACACTGAATAATGTTGTATTTCTTCAAAGATTACAATGTGATAATGAAATGTCTGATCACCTCTAGTGACACTGGCACTAACCCCCCAGAAAGTGGCATTTTTGGACTGATGACGACTATCAGTGCTTTTGCAGGTGAGTTAAAATAGTCTAAGGACTATAAAACCCTGTATTACTGCAATCTGGTCATAATGGATGACAAAAATCACGATGTCGTGCATAGGGGCACGGATACCCTGGCAGATTCAGGGGGCCAGCACTTGATAGGGGCCCTTGAATACAAAAAAAATATGTAAAATTGGGTGGGGGGACGCACAGTGACATTTTCTAGGCGACCCAGAATTTCTGGGAGCACAGCTGGTCCCATAACATGTGCTTGGTCAGTGATTTTGCCCAACAATTTGCATTTTGCTTCCCAAGAAGGATGTGGAATTGAATAGATCTTTAAAATTCCACACTTAGAACCGCAACCATCTTTTATTTAATAAAATTGTACTTTTTGACTTTCTGCATTATTTTATTGCTGATTCCCCTCAAACAATAAGAAAGACAAGTAAGAGGGTGGGAAGGGGGGATGTGAGAAGCTTCAAAGCTTTCCGAGCAGGGAAGGTGAGGTCATGCCTGCACTTGTATGTGTCTCTTGCTGGGAAATATGATCATCTGAAGAACGTTGAAATACTGTAGCTGCAACTTCCCATTTACGGGGCTAATGAAAGCAGGAAGTGGCGGCATGATGGGACTCTGGGTCAAGCGCATTGACTATTTGGCTGCACATGTGATTTGCATTCTTACGCTATACTGCAGTGAAATGGTTTTTTGGGAAAAGTCCCAGAGTTACTCAATAGCATTTGGAAAGAAACCTGTTGTTGTTTCTTGTTGTGAACTTCATTCTCTGGGTGTTTTCCAGGAATAGCCACCATTTTTGCTAGGTACAAGTATGTGGAGAAGATATGTGAGGCGACGACTGGGAGTCGCCTGAACTGCATTGCCTTCTGTTTTGGAATAATCTCTTGCTTGGGAATGTGTTTCATTGCTACATTTCAGGTATGGAATGGTTCTAATTCATGTTTATTGCTTGTTCATCTCATTGCAGACAACTGAAGTGGTTTGTAATCCCTTCCAGGTTCTGTACTTCCTAATACACAAATATGCTTCACTGTTGAACTAATCGTGGTGGCAGATGTGTGGTGGAAAGTGAACCAACAAAGTTTCTAAGGCCCCAAACATACTATTTTCCCATATTCTATGTCATGTTTTAATTAAGCATTCAATATGCATAGTTCTCTCTACAGAGAAGCTACGGCCACAGGCAATATCACAATAATGTTACATGTGGCTATTCCATAAACACAATGCTTCAACGGTTTGGGCGTGGTTGGGTTGTTCTGTTACAGAAGAGCGTGATGAAGGACAGTCCACATTGCAGCTGAGAAAGCTAACACCACACAGCACACATAAAGACTGACAGAGGAATGGGGCAAGGGCAGGCACATATATACCCTAGTAATGTGGGCAAAACGAGGGGCAGGTGTGGGCCATTACTAAGCAACTAAATTCTAGGGCTAGGAGTTACAAGGAACACAGAGACAAACAGGATGACCAATGACATCTGCTGGCCAAACAGGGAAACAGCAGGCAAGACAGGGACTGATCCTGACAGTTCAGCATGATCAACATGTTGTATCGTTTTTTTATTTTCTTCAAACAGCAATACTCTCATACTTCACACAGCAGATCTCAGGCTGCTCTACTCTCTTTAATCATTAACTGACTTAGCATCAGATCAATCATCAGTCATTTCGGCTTATAAGCAAATAGGAAAGCAATGCTTTGTGGGAAGGTCAACTCAATGTCGGATGCTCTAGGGAGGGTAGACCCCCACATCAGTCTGCAGTAGGTTCTACCATTGTGTGATGCACCTGTTTGGTTCTTGGTGTTGTTTCAGGAGACCCAGGTTCCATCGGTGCACGATCTTGCTGGTCTCACCTTCTTTGTATCAGGAGTGACCTACATCGTCCTCCAGTCCATCATCTCCCGCAGAATGTACCCTTATTGGTCCTCCAGGAGTGTGTGTCTCAGCCAAATTTTCATCTCCGCCATTTCTGTCATTGCTGCTGTGCTAAGTATCCTTTGCTGCCTCAGACACCTTAAGCACTTGCCTTCGAACAGCAAGTGCCGTGGGGTGGTGTGGTGTGACTGAAGTGGGTATCAAGGAGTGTGGTTTGTATGTTATGATCGACAAAAGCATTTGACTTGGACTGAAACTTTGTGGCCTAGCTGCTCTGTAAAAACAGCTGCAATTTTGACCTGCACCGCACAGAAATCATCCTCTTGATTTGAGATTACAGCACTGTGTTGTGTTGAGGTTCTCCTAAACTTCTCCTCCATCAGTGATCATATGTGGAGTGTTGGTGAAGTCCTCCAAGCTGCACTGGGAGATACATAATGAGGTAATACCATGACGTCTTACTACTGCATTGTTGCACCAAAGGAAGTTGGATAGAATGCACTTTAAAGCCATTTATTTATCCTGCAAATCTGATAGGGAAGGCGGTTTATTTTTGTTATTGTTTTGAGACTTCTGTTTGGAAGAAATACATTTCAGTACTGAATAGTTGAATGTATGTTTGCAAACAATGAAAGAAACCCTGTATTTGCAATCTTTGTAGCTCTGACTTACAACTGAACGTTTATGTCGTTCATTTATATCTCCATCAAAACGTTTGTACAACCGCTCCAGACTCGATCAGGGTTTGTTTTGTTTTCGCTGTGCCTTTTAAATCCAAAAATCTTCATATAATTGTGCATACAAGTGTTTCACGGCTATTTTGTTACTTATGAAGCCTTTATGAATGAGGCCCCATATCTTTCTATTTTTAGCCAGAATAACACTACAGCGACCCCCCCCCCGCCTATCGCGGAAGATGGGTTTGGAACGATAGGTGAAAATCCACGATATAGAAAGTCCATATAACTAAACATTTTTTATATAGTTTAAGCCTTAAAATACCCCTCCCACACGTTTGAAAAACATGTAAACTTATTAAAACAACACATATATGTGGATGTCGGGCTAAGGATAAGAGTAACATAATAATAATAATAATAATAATAAAATGATAATATGTAACGCGTCAGATAATAATCTGCGATATAGTGGGGGATCACTGTACATGATATACTGTATAACTCAGTATTTTCTGTAAATATTTAAGGTAAATATTTTTTTATCATATATGATATACAACTAACATTCAGAATTTGTTTGATTTTTCTAATGAATGAATTTCTATGTACCAATATATTTATTGCATGGAATCTAAGTTAGATATATGCATACTGAAAAGTCAAAGTAAATACAGGCGCCAACTCGTGTGCATCTGCATGTAAACCCCCTCCCATTAGCGGTATCAGTTATTTGTCAGTTGGCCATGAACAATTAAACGGTAACGTTTTTGGAGCTTGCCGAAAGATCGGAGAAACTCACAGCCGACGCCTGAGCCAAAAACAAAATCACATAAAATCATATAAAATTTAAATATTAATGATAGGCCTACAATTAAAGATACACTTAATCAAACAGTATTTAGGCCCTACATACTATATGTTAGTCTAAGTGTATCTTTAATATTCATATGCCTTGGCAGCCAGCCTCACTCACATGTTAGCTGTCCTTGTGACTGCGAGTTATAAACTTTTCACTGCCATTAACTGCATTTTTAGTAAGGGGGCCAAAACACAGTGCTTTCAGTGTGTACTGTAGTAACTGTACATAATTTAATATCATTTAGATGATTTGTATATTAGGCCTATATAGGAAGTTTAGGAGGCAAATGACATGCAAAAGTGTATAGCATATAGCACTGTTTGTTTAGACATTGATAATAAATAGACTTTTTATGTTAACGGATTTTAAATTTGTCTTTATCCGGCTTGTTGAATGTCCGCATTAACAGCAGCAGTCACATGCTGCCTTTCGAGTTTTTTTTAAATTATTTTTTGTCAAACTGGCAAATGTACTACCGTATAAAATGGTTTGCCGTTCCTCTACTTTAAACACTATAACGTCTACACTTCGTTTTCTGAGAAATATATTTTTTCTCTGTGGTTTATGCCTCCATCCCCATTGAAGTGGCTTTGCAAACATGGTCTTGAGAGTTTCACTTTCACGAAAATGTTCTGAGGGCAGAAAGAAAAATTATTGGTTATCTCTGAACCAATCAGATTGTAGAGGAGGTGGGACCAACCTTAGTTGCTTAAACCCACCTACTCTGCAATCTAACTGGTTATCTTTCTGAACCAATCATTTTTCATTCTGCCCTCAGAACATTCTTGTGTAAGTAAAAGTCCCATTAGCTGCAAGCGTAGAATGTGCATGATTATATACACGTGGCTAATTTGCATTACCATTGTAGGGTAATTAGTGGGTAGGAATGGGGCAGTATCTTAAGCACCCACACTTGCAAATGTTTCTACTATATGTGGGATTTATAATTTGCATGATGCATATTGTGGTTTATGCAAGGTTTTTATAAATTTGACTTTTATTTTTCATACGAAAGGAAGAATAATAATTTACGAACATTGGGCCTCATTCACAAACCGTTCTTAGGAACAAATTTGTTCTTAAACCCCACGTACGCACTTATTTACAAAGATTCTGACCTATTTATAATCCGTCTGATCGCCGTTACTACCATGAAAATAATTTTTACACTTTAAAATTATTTTTTATATTTTACTTTTATAAATTATTAAAATACTATCATTTTATGAACTGTAGAATGAACAAAATTGCTATAACCAATTATTTTTTAACAAACTATCATTACTCAAATGTGCGTACGAATGGTCTTGAGTGTGCGTAGATTCTGTTCTTAGCTAAGAACAAATTCAGATAAGAAAACATTGGTGAATGTCAGAATCTTTGTAAAAAAGTGCGTACGTGGGGTTTAAGAACAAATTTTTTCGTAAGAACGGTTGGTGAATGAGGCCCATTGTTTATAACTGGTTTTTGGTTCACATCGCCCAACCCTAGTGGGACCAATTCTAAGTGTCCTCTACCTTTCTCTGGCAAACAGCAGTATATCCTCCATGTCGTCAGCGCTGTCAGCGAGTGGATAGTGTCCTTTGGTTTCGTCTTCTTCTTTTTTACCTACATTAGGGAGTTCAAGGTAATATTGCTTGTTATCTTCTAATAATGTATCTTTGTGCATTTCATCATTACTCTGACTGTATCCATCTCTACTCTCTCCACCTCTATACCTGACTGTATCCATCTCTACTCTCTCCACCTCTATACCTGACTGTATCCATCTCTACTCTCTCCACCTCTATATCTGACTGTATCCATCTCTACTCTCTCCACCTCTATACCTGACTGTATCCACCTCTACTCTCTCCACCTCTATACCTGACTGTATCCATCTCTACTCTCTCCACCTCTATACCTGACTGTATCCATCTC